ATTCAACTCCCAATGTGTTCTACAGCCCTTGCCCTCGCTCTTTGCCGAGATCGGAGCTAGACAAGGCGGCAACGTACTCGGCCTGGACTCGGTGAACAGGAACTCGATTCTATGGGTCGGCAGTGTCGGCTTCCAGAACGCAGCATATCAACAGGCTGCCCACGATGCGGTCTCAGCGTACGCACGTAACCTCGAGTCATACGCGCAATCAAGGAATGGCAACGTGGCATTCAGGTACATCAACTATGCCGACAAGGACCAGAATCCTCTAAAGTCGTACGGGTCGACCAACGTCAATTTCATCAAGAGAGTGGCCACCAAGTATGATCCGACCGGCGTGTTCCAGAAGCAGGTGCCTGGGAGCTTCAAGGTCTCGGCAATATAACACGCCACTAAATGAGTCTCTCGATAAAAGAATATCATATCCACTAACTATACAATAATGTAATGCCTGATGCGAGAGGCGGAGCGACAGATTGCGGGCGGCAGCAGGGAATGTGATACACGTGAGAGAATCACGGCGCACAAAAGCTGTGTAGCATCGGATCGCGTTTTGAGCAACATCTTCATTTTTTCATGAGTGTTTGGATTTTGACTTGTTGGGCATATAATTACATAGAATAGAATATACAAAGACCTTGGAGACGGATAGATGAATCAGATTTCTTTGCTGCCATGCATATTGTCGAGGACACTTCAAAGATGGTCTTGTCCTGCTGACCACTGACAGGCCCATGAGCGTTACCTTGATAATTCTACCTAGGGATGCAAGTTATTAATTCAAGTCACGCAAGCGTCGGTCCGCGTTGCGGGATCAAGATGCGGGGAACCGCCCAGGTTGCCAGGCCAAGATGGGCAACATCGGCAGGTGGTGAGAGTCAGGCGACACGCTTCATTTCATCTCATCATCTATTATGACTTCACTTCATTGACATCCCCTGGCCCTTTTCAGCCTGTAAACCCTCAAGCTTGTCGTCTCCCTGTACCCACCCTTTGGCCCTCCACAGAAGAACGATGGCCACCTCGTCGTCGACGCAAAACACCCCCGCCGTAGGTATCCTCTCGATAGGTGACATGGGCATGGGGGTTGCCCGGCTTCTCCGCCATCACAATTACACCGTCTACACGGTCGCCAAAGGTAGAAGGCAAGTGCTTTCAGATTCTCACTCAGATGACATTGGACTCTTTGCTGAACAACCCTCAAGTCAACATACTCTTGACCGGATCAAGTCGTCGCAGATCACCTCCTTGGAATCGGACGAACAGCTCGTGGCCGAGGCGGACATTATCCTGAGTATCGTGCCTCCTCGGGATGCCATAGCGACGGCTCGAAGGGCGCTGGAAGCCTGCCGCTCGCAGACGGCGATCAAGAGGCGCAGCGAACGACGAGGCACCACGGCTGTGTCGCAGGCGCCGAGTCTAACGTACATCGACATGAATGCCATTAGTCCCAAGACGGCCCGATCCATCGCCTCCATGTTCTCGACACCATCGACTCCTGCCTCGCCCCGAAGACTGTCCATCTCGCGCACATTCTCCTTTCACCCGAAGAAAGAATCCGAGCCAGAGTTGGACCCGATCCCGATCGACTTCCTCGACGGCGGCATCATCGGGGCCCCTCCATCACTCAAACCGGACCAGACCTGGAAGAAGCCGTCGATCGTCGTGTCCGGGCCCAAACACGCCGACCTCCTGACTCCCGCGATGATTGAGCTGATGAACATGCGGATTGTCGGCCCCAAGATCGGCACCGCGTCGGCGCTGAAGTCGTGTTTCGCTGCTTTGACCAAGGGCATGACGGCGCTTTCGATCCTGTCCTTCACCACGGCCCAGACGTGCGGCGTGCTCAAGGAACTCCAGGCACACCTGCAGGAATTCAGTCCGCAGCTGCTCGCCTTCGCTCAGGGAGGCCTGGTGAGCATGCCGCCCAAGGCGTACCGCTGGGTGGAAGAGATGCGGCAGATCAACGAGACGTTTGCCGAGGAAGGCGGATTTACCAACGCCGTCCTCTCCCCCTCCCCCTCTTCCCACAACGGATCCGACCACGACAATCACGCCCGTCACCAATCCCCCAACGGCACCCTCATCGGCGGTACCGGCAACGGCAACGGCCACGGCCAGCGTGGGACGGCAGGCGTCTTTGAAGGCATCGCCGACGTGTACAACTTGATCGCAAACGACACCGTCCTGGGCGACGAACGCGTCGAGCGTCGCAAACGCGGCACCAACCCCGAGGACGTGGCCGAGTGCGTCAGAGACGGCATCGCCAAGAAGAAAAGGAAGTTGGCAGGTGACGAGTCCGAGTTGGAAGTCGCCTGGAGGGGCAGCTGGGGCGCTTGAGAGCCCAGCAACAAGACTTTGAAGTCCTACCCCCAGGCTTCGTCTGACCCTTATAACCTTACCTAGCTACATAGGTTCAGAGTGAGTACCGCCCCCCTTTATCGATATCGCCATCGACACCCATCTACCTGAGAAAGGGGGGGGGGGGGAAAGAAAGGGATAAACTTCCCAAGTTTTTGGTCTAGGGTTGGGATGGGATGTGACGGTCATGATCTAGATTCTAGATTCCATTTGTCGTTTTTTATGTACCGACTACCATGCAATGAAGTACGAACGAATGTTACGGGACACCAATATAGATTTTGCTTGAATGATGTCTGGTTGAGCGCACGCGGCTGCTACTACTTGGATTTCAGATCCTACATCAAAGTGACATGGATGATGGACGATGGGATTACATGATGGGATGGATGACAGGAAGTTTTCGGATATTGTTAGCACCGCTACGAATATGTATTGCTCAAGAGAATCTCACACCTTTTTATCTTCTTCAATATACTAGGACCAGCGAGAGTATTCAACGACGCGATGAGCTTGGTAGCCTAGCATGAAAACGCTTTTCACTGCGGCGGCGTCTCGTCCCTGATCGCCTCCACCGACGACGACAGTTCACTTCAGAGAGAATCAGAGGCCAATATCACAATCGGAGCGTGGCAAGCGATGGCCGTCTCCCGCATTCTCTGAGCGTTCCCGCAGGCCCCATATAGTAGAGTCGACTTGAAGCCGAGCGTGAGCTGTGTCGTGAGCAAGCCCAGGTCGAAGTCGGTGTGGTCGTTGATATACTGTTGCACATGCCTTACCGCTGGGCCAAAGGGCGACTGTGTGAGGCTGGCAAAGTGGGCATGTTCTTTACCCTGACCGTCGAACTTCTGCCAGTGACGCAACGTCCACATTGTCCTCGTGCGGTAAGCGCGTAATGCAGTCTTCAACGGCTCACACGCTGACGTTTCCTCGAGATCGGGGAGGGAATCATCGAACCATGCCTTGGCTGCGGTGAGGACCGCGACCGCATACTCCAGTCGAGATTCCTTCGTCACGGTCGAGACCGGTGGGAATGGTTGTAGGACATGGAACATGGTGTCGATAGAAATCAACAGGTCTGCGTCAACAAACTCGCCCTTCGCACGGACCGCACGACCGAGAGTACGGCAGTGATTGATGTGTCGATTGTATTCCTCCCAGCGTCCGGTCCAGACACAGACAACAGCAATCATCACTGCGGCCAGCACTGTGGATAACGACGGTTGTCTCTCCTTGAGGACGGCTTGTATGGCCAGATGCATGTGGACAACTGACTGCTTAGAGAGAATTGACTGCAATTCTAGGCTCCAATTCGACGCTCGAGCCTCAAGCACTAGTGCCGTTGATGCAGCAGAGAGCAGGCTATGCCTTACGACATCAAGATGCCATGCAGCTTGTGGAATATACCGCCCGAGAGTGTTTCGTATCGCATCCGCCGGACAATCGGTACCCCCTGGAGTGGTCAATCGGAGCCAGAAATCCAAGGCAGTCTGAGCTTCGGCAGTCGTATAGGGAGATGTAAACACGCCATCATACAGCGACACAATGGTTATAGGTCCTTCCAAAGCATCATTCGCGGATTGACTCCCGCGATAATGACCGGAACGTTCGCTCCAAGGTTCAAATATCCAAGGTTTCGGGTTGTCCGCATAGCCGCCACAGACTTTACCCAGTTTGATGCAACTACAAATCTAGCTGGTTAGCCAGTCAATCTAGACAGCGGGAGCGGCAGCTTGTGGTACCGTTGACACTGCGGTTTCTCCTCGCTACATCTCACATGGCGGGCTTTGCAGGTTTTGCACCCTGTCCTCGCCTTGGGGTGCCATGCTTTCCGCCGTTTCGGCAATACTGGATCAGCCATCGCACGGGAAATCCCTACTGTTATTTTGCTGGACAGACAAAGCTCGGAAAACGGAGGCCGTTTGCAGGTCGAGTTATTGAGATCCTGATCGGAGAGCCGTTCCCGGGGCCAATGACACGTTCTAGACTCTCAACCATCGCTGTGACAAGATGCACGCATGAGGGACATTTCTGGAGGCAGAAGAAAGTGGAGGAGGCATGTTTTATCTGCAAAGGGAGAAATGAGGCCTCCCACCTTGTAGGCGAGAGTGATCGGTTGGCCAATTAGTCCCGACTTCCTCGTATCTCGCCTGCTTGGGAGCTGAAGGGCTCCTTACTTGGTGACATCGGGTGGACATAGCGTGTAGGGTACAAGGCAGAGCAAGGATGAAGCTCATTCTAGGAGGGAGTCTTCCTCGAATAAAGGGAATGAGACGCACAGACCAGCATTGAAGTCAGTGACTTGGACGCAGTTACAATATGCTCCACTGTAGTGGCAATTGGCAGCACGTGACAGACCGGAGACGGTCATTAGCACCGGAACTGGGCATCACTGACATTGCGCCTAGACTGCGCTGCATCCTCAACCCGTTTGTCTATTCAAGAAACAACCCGGAAAATCTTCACCTTCCGCCCCGAGGCTTTTCGTTTGCTGACAGTAGAGACAGTGACAACTTGAAACTGTCATCGCCTTTTCCTCCCTCCCTCTTTACCCGGCGATGGCTTGAGTTGCATCGCCTGGCCGACATGCAAATCGTTGAAACACCCTCCGAATTCCAATCCTGTCGGTACAAGACAAAATGCCGCTCGATCCTTTCGAAGAGAGACATCCCAACCCCCTGCCTCGTATCGCCACTCGCAGGACCTCTGTCGGGACAACGGGCCATGAAGAAGGACAGGACTACTGTCGTATTTGCCGGGGCGAAGGCACCAGCACACAACCTCTATACTATCCGTGCAAATGCTCTGGCAGCATCAAATTCGTCCACCAAGAATGCCTGATGGAGTGGCTCTCGCATTCCCAAAAGAAATACTGCGAGTTGTGCAAGACTTCTTTTCGATTCACCAAACTCTATGACCGGTCCATGCCCGCCACCTTGCCGTTTCCACTCTTTCTGCGCCAACTGGCTCGTCATGGGGCGACCGAGTTTGCTCGCTGGTCCCGGTACTTGCTGGTGAGCATCATCTGGACCTGCTGTTTGCCTTGGTGCATTCGGCAGATATGGAGAGGCTTGTTCTGGCTTGCAGATGGGGATTGGGTGGATGAGTCCAACATACAAGCCATGTCCGACCGTTCGTCGAATACAAACGGCACGGATGCCAGCCCTGGAGCCTCACTTGCCGCCTCCCTGAACTTCACTGTTCCTGAACAACTTGAGAAGATAAAACTGGTGTTTCCTCCGATGCAGATTTCTTTGGCTGACATTGCGCGGCTGTTTTCTGGTCAAAGCGTGTTTGGCAAAATACTTCGCTTCATTCTCTCCATCTTCACCCTACGTTTGAGACAAACCGATACCCCTGGACAAGACCAGATTTCCGTCGGGGAAATTTCTCCAACAACCAGGAGGCATCCGTCACTGTTATCCGATGTTCAATTTATATCGTCATGGTCCAGTTCTCCTTTGGCTAACCATATCACGGTCGACGTGATCGAAGGCCAGCTGATCTGTGTCTTGCTGGTTGCGGCATTCATCCTCGTCTTTTTGATTCGAGAATGGGTCATCAATCAACAGCCGATCCTGAACATGCCCGACCCGGATGAAAATGCTCAGGCTGACGACGCGAGACCACATCTGCCTGCTCATCTACCGCGTGTCCCCCGTGCTGGAGATAATGTCGCAGACGAAATAGCTGCCATGGAGGATCTGGCAGCACAGTTACCTCCTGATCAGGTAGCTCCGCCTAGACCACCTCCTAACCAACACCGCGTTCCTCGTTTCGGCAATAACATCGCGGATGAGATAGCAGCCCTAGAGCGACTTGCAGCTGAAGCGCCTCGAGGGGAAACGACACCGCCAACACTATCCCCACGTCATGCTCTTACGGACGATGATGTGTCTAGTGGAACTGGACCTGAATTTGAAAGACCAATTATCAGGACTAGGTCGCAGAGCTCATCAGCTATTGCCGGCACTGCTCAGGAGCAGCCTCGTCGCTGGCGAAATCCAAGGGGGAACGATGTGGATACAAATGAACCTTGGAATCAACTATTTAGAAGACACAGCGCTGACGACACCGAAGCTAATCACTATCTTCCGTTAGTAACTCCAAGTCCTCCTCTCGTCGATGCGGACGGTGGCGAGGACTCTCCCATCCGTATGGGGCGCTACTGGTATCCTGAAGATACTTCGGAGATCTCCGAATCTGAAGGACTGCAGTACTCAGAGTATCGGCCATTCAGACAAGAAGAATTGGAACCAGCAGAGACTTCTGGCCGGAGAGTGTCGTTTGCAGAGGTGTCAGATGTGGGTGACGATGCACCGAATGGACTATCGTCCTCGAGCATTGATCAACATGAGTCTGATTCAGATGCACCCGCCATACCCACACCCGATTCGAATGATGCGGAACAACTTCTGCCGCCAGGGGCTAACGCATTTGATGGTGAAGGCCAGGAAGTCCCATTCAACATTGCAGATGATGTTCAGGCTGAGGAAGTTCCCATATCTGGTGACGAAAATCCGCCTGAGGATACCCCGTTATGGGGAAAGATATCACATTGGCTCTGGCACACGGATTTTGAGGCCGACGAACAGCCTCGTGCAGAGCCTGGCGATGCCCCACGCGAAGAGGACCAGGACGAGGAACGCATTGTGGAAGATGTCGATGCAGAAGCTCCATTTGTTCCAATCCAAAACCGAGATGCCGGACCTGCCCAAGCGCTTCCTATTGCCATCGAGGCACAACCTGCTGGACCTGCAGAAGCCAGGGAGCCTAACATGCTCTTTGGAGTCGATCTCAATGAGGCCAATCAAGACGACGCAGAAGATCTTGATGGCATCCTGGAACTTCTTGGCATGGAAGGACCGATTTTTGGCATGGTTCAGAATGTCATCTTCTCCCTGTTCCTCATCACGGTGACCTTGGCGGCTAGTGTCTGGTGTCCTTATATATGGGGCAAGATTGCACTGTTGTTTCTCTCAAGTCCTACCAGCATGTTGGTGAAGGCGCCACTATTCGTGCTATCACGAACGGCGGATATTGTGGTTGATATCATTTTCTTCGTGGTCGGCCTGACCGGCTTTCTCCTGAACCAGCCTATAAAAATCATGCAAACTATGATGTCTCTAGCCATGCCACGACTCGGCGGCATCCTCGACACCACCACATTGGAAGGCTTCAGCCTTGATCTGAGTCAGAAGAGCGGCCTGCGCTTGGAAAAAACTCTCTCCGCTGCGGTTCTTAGCCTCAAGCCCGACTTGCCGACGTTTTCGATGCAGTCACACCAAGCACTCATCTCTTTCAAGACCGGCCTACATACAGCAGTCCAGTGGATCGCTTTTACGCTCGCCCAGGGTCAAACAATGTTGACTAGGAACAGCCAGAGTTCGGATACCATGTTGACCTCTTTCTGGTATGCCTTGAGATCTATTCCTACTCAACTTGCGAAGATCCCTCAGCTCTGTGAATATGCGATGAACTATCTGCGTTCCCTGTCCACGGATCTGGGCTCGCCACCCTCTGGCAACGGAGATGGGATGAATCCTTCTTTGGCTGAATGGGGCACAGAAGACCGAATCCTCACAATTTTGCTTGGTTATGCGTTTTTCGCCATTGCTGGAATCGTCTTCCTGGAGATTGCTCATCTCATCCTTGGCTTGAAAGAAGGCGAGAGGGTCGAGGGCTATTTTGCGGACTCGCTACGACAAGCAGGTGGAGTGATGAAAGTCATTGTCATCATCGGTATCGAAATGCTGGTCTTTCCTTTGTACTGTGGACTGCTCCTGGATCTGGCGCTTCTTCCTCTGTTTGCCGATGCCACTGTTGCTAGTCGCATTGCCTTCCTGATGCGCACCCCTTTGACCGGAATATTCATTCACTGGTTCATCGGAACCTGTTATATGTTTCATTTCGCCCTCTTTGTATCAATATGCCGGAAAATTATGCGAAAAGGAGTCCTGTATTTTATTCGAGATCCTGACGATCCAACGTTTCACCCGGTGCGCGATGTTCTAGAGCGACCAGTCCCTGCACAACTGGGCAAAATTGCATTCTCGGCGTTGGTCTATGGTGGCCTGGTTATTGTGTGTCTTGGGGGCGTGGTATGGTCGATAGATTGGTTTGGCGTCGTTCTCCCGATTCAATGGTCGACTCCGGAACCCAGGCTGTCGTTCCCGGTCGACATCATCTTTTACAATTTTCTACTTCCATTTGTTTTGCGCCGGGCCGAGCCATCGAAAAAGATCTCCGCAATGTATCAGTGGTGGTTTCGGGGATGTGCCAGGTGGTTGAGATTGACCAACTTTCTTTTCGGGGAGGAACGCAAAGAAGAAACCTTCAGCCACCCGAACCGTTTTCCGTGGAACCTATTCACCAAAGATACGGCGGCAGAACCGAAACGTGACGGACGCTATGTTCGAGCACCTGCATCCGACTCTGTGCGCATCGCCAAGGGCCGACAAGTCTTTCTTGAAGTGACAGAAGACAATGAGAGGGTGGATGGTGCGCCAGAGTTATTCTTCGCCCCTCATGGCAAGAAAAACCCTCAATTCACCAAGGTCTATCTTCCTCCGAACTTCCAAGCTCGAATTACATCGTTTGTGATCCTGTTGTGGTTCTTCGCCGCCTTGACTGGTTCCGCGTTCACTGTGGGACCTCTCATTGTCGGTCGCAAACTGACTCGAGTCCTCTCGCAATCTACTCAACCACCAAATGATCTATATGCTTTCACCGTTGGTATTCACATTTTCGCAGCGGTCGGGTATGCAATCGCCTACGCCGGACCGGCTCGAACTTACCTGCAAAAGAAATTCAAATGGTCCGGAAAGCAGTTTCTCGCTTCGGTGCTGCATGTCCTTGGCCTGACATACCTTGGGATATTCACCACCCTCATTCTTCCGTTCGTCGTCTCTCTGGTGGTAGAGCTATACATTCACATTCCGATCTTTGACCTGCTCGAAGTCCTCAGTCATCAAAAGCTCAACCGCGACTCTTCACCACCCTCGTCTTCGGCCCCGACGGTTTCGGCTGGACCAGCTACCACCAAGCCTTTCCCACCAGCCACGATATTCATCCTCCAATCATGGACTATCGGCCTCGTTTTCCTACGCCTGATCTTCCGCATCCTGGCTCACGTCCTCCCACCTACTGTGCGGCCGGCCAGAGCTCTTCGCGGGATCATTCGCAACGGCATTTTCCACGCCGACATCCCTCTCGCGTCCCGCGCCTTCGTTCTCCCAGCTACGATCATCTGTATCACACTCCTTATTGCACCTCTTACTTGCATGAGGGCCATCATCGGCATCTTCCACATTTCCGATCGAGGAAGGCAAATTCGGATGTACCGTTTTGCGTATCCGCTTTTCTTGTGCTTGATGGTCAATTATGTAGGATTGCTATACATAAGGAGAAAACTTGAGAGCTGGAGGATCAAGATCAGGGACGAAGTGTACTTGATCGGTGAGAGGTTACATAATTTTCATGAACCAAAGCCAAGGTGGAGGAGTGAGGCTTTGTCAAAAGGGAAAGGCAAGGAGATAGCTTTGTGAGCGCGCTGTGTCTGTTCAAGCAGGGCGTGGCGAAGGTATGAACATGAGTCATGATTTGCTCTAGAGATAGAAGATTCAGGCATATAAATACAAACACGACCCTTGGTCAAAGAGAATGGTGTCTTTCGGTATTCTATGAGGCATGGTGGAAGGACCATGAGATACGTGCGTGAGGGTCACGTGGAAGGATTGGTACGGTGCATTGTACAGGCGACATTTTACTCGGTACAACTACGGTGGGTTACAACGTCTGTGGCTGTCCAGCGCAGGCACGCAGCCAAGCAAAAGCCGCAAAGCCACATATCCCACAATCCACCTTGCCACCCCGTCCATCCCACACCTGGACTCGGTATGACATGCACCATCCATCCACCACTGAGAGCCACCGTCGCCCGTCCCGTTGGTTGTCATCGAATTGAGCCCCCGGAGCATGTGCACAGTTGACATCATTGTCGTCTCCGATCTGGGACAGACCTTCACCAAGAATCCATTCTCATCGAAGATACAACTGTCGATCTGACAGCTTAATCTCCTGGTTATCACAAACCCCTTCTCCCTGGTCCCTTTGTTCTTGGGGGTTGGCCATCCGTGCTTCGCCTCTTACCTGGTGGTGACTGGTTGCTACCCTCCGCGTCGCAGGTTTTATGCAACTTTGGTGCTGGGTGACGCAGTTGGCTGCAAGTTGTGCCTCGCAAGCTTGACGCTTGAACTGCCCCCTGCAAGTCTAACTCGATTGCAGGCTTCACAAGGTCTCCTCACTCCAGACATCCTCCATAATTTTCGAAAGACGGCAATTGAGCTACCATTTACCTGGTCATCCCATTCACCACTCTTCCTCGGCCATCATTCTCACACCACAAAGATTCGCTCTGCAATCTTCATCTCTTTCCATAATTCCTGTCTACGTCCCTTCTTCCTAGTAGGTCGTGCAGGTCTAACGGTGGCATTTGGGGTGCTGCTATTTGCTCATCCAGCACTGGCCGAAGTACCTTCCTTCTCCAAAAGGTTGTCAGTCCAATCAGCACACTGGGTGGGAGTGAGGACCAACCCTCAAAGTTGTATCAGCTGCGATGGCAGTTGTTGAGAATGGAAGACCTATAGAGAGTGTCAAAGACAGACCCAATGGGCACGCTGTAGGACCGCCTGCACGACAACCTGGTCGCCAACGCTCTCGCCGGAGCTGGACCTCTTGGTTATTTAACACCTCGGCAAGGTATGTCTAACGATCAATCTATTTGTTAAAGGATGACTTCTGACTGCTCCGTAGGCTTGCCATATGGTACTGCCTCCTCACTATCCTCTTCAGCTGTCCCTCTTCGCGGACTGCCCTCACCGATACCTCTCCGCGAATATGTGAAACGTACCTTTCAGCGAAGGAATACATCCAACCTCATCTGCAACCATATTACGATGAATATGCAGCTCCTTACGTTGCTAAAGCTGAGCCATATGCACACCTAGTGAAAAGCCGAGTGGTGCGACCTGCGACCAAAATCGCTGTCGTCAATTATGAGAAATATGCTGCTCCGCAGATCGACGCCGCAAAGGCATACTCTCAAGCGCAATGGGAAAAGGCCGTCATGCCTCAAATTAACCTGGCACGGGGAAATGCTGCCAGGTTCTACGAGAAGAATATAGGGCCCCATGTCGACCAAGTCATCGCAAAGACTGCGCCCTACTACGCCCCAGCACGAGATCAAGTCTATCGAGTCTACCAACAGCATCTTCTTCCAGCAGTGGAATACTCCCTGCCACATATAAATAAAGCATACAGTCTCAGTCAAGATTTCGCATTGAACACTGCATATCCTCTTCTGCGACATGCATGGTCGGATCTCGTCATCTTCATGGACGGCACGTTCTGGCCCTTTGTAAAGGGTCTTTACATCGATAATGTTCGGCCTCAGCTGGTCATGATCAATGAGAGGATTGCCAAGTATCGGGAGAGTCGCCAGTTGAAAGCCGCCATGGACGAGGTAGATAACACCCGGTCAACCTACGTCGCCTCCGCCACTCCAAGCGCGACTACGGACACAATGGATGATGTGTATGCTCTGTTTGATTCCGAAGACGAAACAGAATCCTCTACTACGACTCCATCTCAAGAAGCTGAGCCGACTCCTGTTGAACGTGTGAAGCGGCCAGTTGAATATCCTATTGCTACAGAGGAGCAAATTGCTGAAGACCTTCGAACATGGCAAAAGAAATTTGCTGTTGCGGCTGACAAGGGCAGCGATGATCTACGAGAACGAGTTGAGTCCATCGTCGACAGTCTTGTCAAAAGTGACATTGACGGAGTTGGTCGAGGATTGGCGAACGCTTTGCAGAAGACCGTAGAAAACGAGTTGGAGAATGTCAAAGCGAAGATCAAGTCAACCGTTGCGTCGCTCCCTGACGATGCGAGTGCAGAGGCTGTGAAAAAGGCAGCAGAAGACATTCTCGGATCAATCAGATCCTCGGGCGCTGAGATCAAGGGACGCGCCCAAAATGTCCGAAACTGGTCTCAGGGCTTTGAACAAGGCTTGATCCAAAGACTCGAGGCTGCCTCCGCCTCTACATTGGAAGTCTTAGATGGTATCAAAGACATCGGGCTCCAAGAGGTTGGAATGCGCTGGTCATGGATGGAAGGAGTTACCTACAAACATTGGCAGAAGTTTCACGAGCTCCGAAAGACGCTCGACGAATGGAAAATTGAGGTCCAAGACGTGGCCATGAAGAGTCCAGAAGCGGAAGCAGCAATTGACACGGCTCGACAAATCCTGGAAGAATGCATGGCAATGACCGAAGACGCTGCGAAAGAACTGGTCAGACTCAAAAGTGTTGCTCAATGGAAACTGAAAGCCCGCGATTCCTCGGACGATTTCGAAACTCGAACGATGCCGGCAGAGGCGGTTTCAGCAGCGTCCAGTCTGGTCTCGGAGCTTCGAGGCGCACCCTCGGAAGCTGTGGAAGCGGCCAGCTCTGTTTTATCACAGGGAAGCGACGCTGCTACCGTAGCAGTCTCATCTGCATCCTCTGCGGCCCTAGGAACCAGTACTGGCACCGTCGAGTCCGCGACGTCGACAGCCAGCGAGTTTGCGGGTGATGCCATTTCGTCAGTCTCTTCCATGCTGGAATCTTCTATTGCGGAGCCTGTTGAATCACTCGTGTCTGATGCCAGTGCCGCCGCCGGAGAGGCGTACGAATCTGCAACCGGGACTGTTGTTGAAGACACTCCTGTGACGGTTGAATCCCTGCTCTCTGAGGCAGAGGAGACTGTTTCGGACTTCACGGAAGATGTGATAGAGTCGGCGGGCTCAGGGACATCGTCATTCGAGTCCATTGCTTCATCAACAACAAATGAACTCCCTTCAGTAAGCGCGGCTGCGGATTCAGCAGCCACAAGAGTATCGAAAGTCTTTGGAGGTGCAATGGCTTCGGAGGTGAAGGGCTCGATACCTATTCTGGATGACGTTTTTGACAACAGCGAGGAGTCGACTTTCTCCGAGAACATTCAAAGCGTGATCAACGAAGCTGGTGATCGCTATGCAGAGGTTAGCCGCGCAGTATCTGAAGCCATGTTCGGAACATCTCAAGGCAAGGTGGAGAGTATCACATCTGTCGCGAGTGAGCAGTATTCCAGCGCTCTAGCAGCGGCCTCCAACGTCTTGTACGGCACGCCTACTGGCACAGCTGAAAGCCTTGCAAGCGCCGCATCTGAACAATATGAGCAAGCCGTGGCGGCTGCGAGTTCAATCATTTTTGGAATGCCAACCCCTGTCACCGAGTCGTTGCTTCTGCAAGCCAGCTCCCTCTACAACGAGGCCGTCAGCAGAGCCGAGGATAACTACAACGCCGCAAAATCGATCGCTTCTCAGCAGATCTCTGGAACTCCGAAACCTGTTCATGAGCAAATGTTTTCCTCAATCGAGTCGGCTTATTCGGGTGCCGTGGCTGCTGCAAGCAGTAGACTTGAATCAGCCCGCAGGTCAGCATCCAGTGCACTTCCGAAGACCGACCCTCTTGAGTCCGTCTCGTCTATAGCATCGTCAATTTTGCAAGACTCTTTGGCTGCAGCTTCGGCTCAATACTCGAAGGCTAAGGTTGCTGTCGGAGCTACACCTACCCCTGCCCATGCGAGATATCTCCAAGAGGCGAGAAAGAACTACTATGCTGCCGTCGGGCTGGCGCACGAGCAGTATGATGACTTTGTTGCGGCAGCTTCGAGTGCGATCTATGGGACACCAACACCTGTATTGAGCAGCGTGTCCAGCGTGGTATCTGTTGGGATCTATGGGACACCGGTGCCTGCGTACCAGAGTCTCCTTGACGCAGCCGCATCCCAATACTCGGAAGCCTCTTCAGCAGCTGCTTCGAGTCTGGACGCATTCAAATCATCCTCGGGCACAACGGTACAGAGCATATGGGATGAAGCCGTAGCAGCTTACTCAAGTGCCGTTGATGCCGCCTCGTCCTCGCTGTCATCTGCTTCGTATGCTGCGAGCACTGCCGTTTATGGCACTCCTGCTCCGTTCTACCAGGCTGCTTTGGAGACCGCATCGTCGCAGTACGTCGTTGCTACCGCCGCCGCCTCTTCCCAATTGTCACAAATGCTCGAATCAGCCTCCTCTGTCCTTGGTAAAGAGGAGACTTCTCCAGCACAGAGCGTCCTTGACTCTATTTCGTCACAATATGACGCCGCCATTTCTGCCGCCTCGTCCTCTCTCTCCGCAGCAAGCTATGCGGCGAGCACGGCCATTTACGGCACTCCTGTCCCTTACTATCAGAGTGCTTTGAATGCAGCATCGTCACAATATGCGGTGGCTTCCTCGGCGGCTGCTTCTCAGATGTCCGCATTGTTGGACTCGGCATCATCGGCAATGGGCAAAAAGGAGACGGGCCCAGCACAGAGTGTACTCGATTCTATCTCTTCACAGTATGATGCTGCAATCGCTGCCGCTTCTTCATCTCTCTCTGCAGCAAGCTACGCCGCTAGCACAGCCGTATACGGTGCTCCAACTGGTTCCGTCGAATCGATCTCTAGCGTGGCATCTGAAAACTGGCAAGCCCTGGTCGCGAAGGCGAGCGAACAGATTTACGGAACTCCCAGGCCCTTCTATGAAAATTTCGCCACCCAAGCTGGAGAATATTCAGCCCAGGTCACGGACTTTGCGAACGATCAATACGTCGTCATCCAATCGTACGTCTCGGAGTTGATAGTGGGCAAAGAACCTGATTTCACTGAGTCGGTCATGAGTCGTCTCAGCTCCGCCTACTACACAGGGTACAGTTCGGCGTCTAGTTTGGCAGGCGAGGCGTACAGCTCAGCCTCATCCATGGCATCCTCTGTTTCCTCTGTTGCCTCTTCCTACTTCACCCCTCCTCCAGAAGTCTCGTCTATTTTGGATTCAGTAACAGAACAACTGAACGCCGCAGTCGACGCAGCAAGTGCACAGGTGTATGGCACACCAAAAGGAAGACTCGAACAAGCAACCTCGGTTGTGGCTGATAGTTACTCATCAGCCAGCGTGGCAGTTAGTGAAGCCATCTATGGTACTCCCGTTGGTTACGCGGAGGCTGCGTCTTCCTCGTTTGCGGAATTGGCAAAGAGTGCGCAGGATGCCGTGAGCGTTGCTATTTATGGGACGCCTACAGGGACAGTTGAATCATTGACCAGTGCGGCAGCCGATACATACGCATCTGCGTCGTCCATAGTGTCGGAGAATGCGGCAGCAGCGGTTTCCGCAGTCAGCGACAATGTCGAGAGTCTCACTGCCAAGGTCTCGCAGGCTATTTATGGTCCTGAGCAGAGTTATATGGAAAGTATCAACTCACAGATCTTTGAAGCTGTCGAGAGTGCGAATAGCAGGATTGCTGCTCTAGCAAGAGAAGCAGCTGAGAGCGCGACGGACGCAGCGAGTGCAGTGAGCGAAAGCGTGGAAAGCATAGCCAGCGTGGTGAGTGAGTCGGCGAGCAGCGCGACCAAGTATGTGAAGGACGAGTTGTGAATGAGCAGGCGACTAGGTGGAAGAATCTAGAAAGAGGCAGGGGCAAGTCTGGGGGAGTGTGTGACAAGCGCTGGAGGAGAAGAATGGACGAATACGACATGATGAATCGATGTGAAGAACGAGACCAAGTCGCCTCCCTCGACCTGAACCAAAAGTATTTGCACAGTTGACGAGTCCGAAGTTTGAGGTCAACAAGCTCGAAGGAAGCTGGAGTTGGAGCTGTTGTCAGGCTACCGGGGGGAGTCGGAGAATGTGTGACTGTATATCGACGGTGGTAATATCTCTCTCTCTTCGTGGCCTGTCTTGTCTGCCTGTGTCAATCAAGTCTTTGCTAGTATTGGAATCCGTCTGGATGGGTTGTTATCGGCGTTTTCTATCCGTGCCAATGATACCACCTTTCTGTCTGTCTGTCTGTCTGTCTGTCTTCATGCTATGTTTGTATATCTGTATGTATGTATGTATGGATGGATGTTTGTATCTATGCCGTTGTTATCGTCTGTCTACTCACAGTATACCTCGTACAGTACACATGTACTCAAGATGACTTTTGGTGGGGGGGGTTTTAGCTATACTAAACATAATACAAGCCTACCTACCTACCTACCACCTGTTGATTGGAATAGAAACCGACCCCCGGAGTACCCGATTGATTAGACGTATATTCACTGCAAGAAAGTGTACATACACACATACATAGGGCAGAGAGGTATGGATAAGATAGAGAGATAGATCGACAGATAGATAATGTGTAAGATAGGATACATAGACAAGGTACGCGAGCGTTCGTTCCGTCTTGTCAGTTCTGTTCAGGGGACCTTTGTAAAACTCGACCTCGTAGACTACAGACACAGACACAAACTTGTAGACTGCAAAGTGTAAACTGTGTATGTATGCCTTTTAGCATTGTGCTTATGTGCATGTTGTCGCCGTGGCTGACCAATGCGTGCATAATGAATGCTATTGCCATACCACGAGCACTACCATACCCATGCATGTCCCATGCCAATGCCAATGCCAATGCCAATTCCAATTCCAATTCCATACCATGCATGCTATGCTATGCTATGCCATGTTATGCCTTGCTATGCCTTGCTCCTCCCATCCTCACGTTCATTGCCCACCCCCGGTAAAATGCAAAAAAAAAGTACAAAGACACTGCTGGGGCTTCCAGTCCTGCCGGGTAAAAAGTCATGCTCGCAAATCCACAACTCCGCTTCCATAAAACATCCTTAGACGTTGTTTTCAACACAGGCCCGTAAACCCGCCGCCAGTGCCTGTGCCTGTGCCTGTGCAGAAAGCACAATCACATTCTCAAGTGATTAGGCGCCTCCCGTTCCAACACAGAAAAGACCAGAAAAGGGCATCAAGAGGATTGTTTTGCTGTGAGTCAAACAATCCGAAATCAAGAACCTCAGAGCCTGACTCCAAAGCGTCTCTTCCAGCAGCGCGTCAGGTGCTTCTGCTGCCAAACGGAGATATCCCTTCCCATTCTTTTCTTCGTTTCTTCTGTAACCACATGTGTCGCGGCATCCTCAAAACTCCACGGTTCGGGTTCATCGAATGAACCAACCCATGAACCGTCTAGTAAACATTAAAATGCTAAACTCAATAAGTACCCAGCGCTCACCGTGGCAATAAGGACGGAATTTCTGGACGTTTGGAAGGAACCCATAACACATTACCGAATCTGACGACGGCAGGTCTCATCAGCCAGATGATACCTCCCCTCGGGTCCATTAAGGAGGTAGGCAGACCACTTTGGGGACGAGAAGGAAGCATCGAGATCATCATCATTCCATATCTTCATCCTCGTCATAATCCTCATCGTCATCGTCCAAACTCTCCATGGCGTCTTTGATGTATTGAGCAGCCTAATTCCAAGTTAGTCACCTTCGAATCATGCGAACCTTGTGAAGCATACCTTTGGATCCAAGTTCAACGCCATGGTGAAGGCCCGCACAGCATTTCCTTTGTCTCTCAAGGTCTTGTAAAGGCGCCCCATCAAAAACCACACATTTGCCTCGTCCGGGACCACATCCCTCAATATCATCAATTCGGCAAGGGCTTCCCGCGGACGCCCTAAGCTCATCAAACATCGTGCTTTCTTGAATCGACTTAGGGCCGATTGAGGCGCGAGGCTGCATGCGCGACTGTACATGAGTAGCGCATCATCTGGATGTTTCTGTTTTTCCAGGACCAGGCCAATGCAACATATCAACACTGCGTTGGTAGGATTGATCTTCGCTGCCGTCCGATAATGCTGCTCTGCAATATTCCACTTGCCCATTTTCTCGTACACTTTCCCTAGCCCGTACCATGCATTGTAATGTCTCCCATCTGCAGCGATCGCGGCTCGATAGGCTTCAAGGGCTTTTTCAAATTCCTCATTGGCAATGTATTCATGCCCTTGGAGCGTGAATCCGTACGCGAACTGCGGATCCAGTTGAGTGGAGCGCTTGAAGCATTTCAATGCTTGTTCGTGTTCCCGCTGGAGAGAGAAGGAATTCCCGATGGCGCACCACGCTTGAGGCGATGACCGATCAATCTCGATAAGCTCGTGTGCCAGGTAGGCAAGTTCAATCTCTGATTTCAAGTGCCAGAGGACTGTCGAGTAGACTTCCATGTCTTCGAGCCGAGTAGGCGCAAGTTGACGGACGCGGATGAAGAATTTCTCAGCCTCGGCGTACGACGCTTGTTCGTAATAGGCCTTGGCGATTTGACTCAGGATGAAAGGTGTCTCGCGTTGTGACGAAGGAAGAGCATTGTACATCTGGATGGCGGTTTGGCAGTCATAGTTAGCCAGGCAGAGTTGCGCCGAAGCGATCCTCCCACATAGATCCAGAAGAGTTTGGAGAGCTTCTAATTCTCGGTCCGCAGTGGATGGTGCTCGTGTTTTGTGGTTTGGCAGAGGTGGTACCGGAGGTGCGTTTCCATGAGCGTTTTTCTGTTCTTTCGAGTCCACGTCCATTTGGTCTGCCGACCCGGTCCTGGTCCTATTTCCGCTCACAACTCTCCCTACCGTTGACGCATTGGCAGTTCTGCCCTTCGCAGCTGGTGCTTTGGCTTTCTTGATATCTCGTCCTTCTCGGAGGCCGAGTGTGTTTGCCAGGGACGAAATCTTACTCCCAGCTGTACTAGTCGCGCTAGGTGGTCTCGTTGTGTTCAATAGCCGGTTACTTCTTCTCGTTCCCTCGGTGATACTTGAAGGAGCAGCATGAGACGATGTTGGTGCAGGCTGACCTGAAACTGTTCTCTTAGAAGGTGCTGCTAGCAGTGGCTGCGGAGGATCTTGCAAGACAGTGGTTGAATCATCCGATGCACCCTTTGCCTTAGTCCTCATCCTAGTAGATCCTGATTTCCACCTAGGGGGAGGATCTGCGGATGTTTCGGTCAAGGTCTTAGCTTTTCTGATGGGTGCTGGTGGTGCTTCGTGATAATGGTTGTTAGCTTGGGCCCCCTGAACAACACCCTCGTCCCCGTCTGCCTCTGTTGACGGAGTGGCAAGACCCTCCTCATCCAAAATTGTGCTGACCGTGTTAACGCTCATCTTGCTACCATTAAGCTTTTCCCATAACACTGAGTTTGCCGGGTGCTGCTGCGTGCTTGACTTTTGCGTCGTCGAAACGAATGGATCTGATGGTGCTTGCGAAATCGTGCCCGGTACCCTCTCCGCCGGCGCATTTTCAACTCTTGCGCTCTGCTGCTGGGCTGAATGCGTCGCTGCTACCATCTCATTGTTCAGCTTATAGATGTTGGGTACACTGATCTTCGCTCCAGCATCACATAATCCCGTAAATGCATCCCACATGAATGGGTTCAATTTCAGGGACGCCGCCCAGCACTCCACAGCCATATCCACGTTTTTGTGCGCCTTCCAGAGCTTCCCTTTGAGACATAGCACGGCAGAGGCATCAGGAAGATGTTGGCGTCTTGACTCATTGTGTTGGCCCCACGTGTTTCTGTTTTGCCAATGGTGCTTGCACTTCTCCAACGCATTGAGCCCTTCCACGATCCGACCGAGCTCTAGAGAACACTGGGCAAAAATGTAGCCACATCCTAGGTGGATACCTTTAACAGCTGCGGCGCGTGAAGCATCCCACGCAGCCTTTAAAAAGCCTGATTGGAATTGACAGTATGCAAGCAAGTAAGCAGCTTCGGGGGAGCGAGGTTCATAGGCAACGAGACGAGAAGCGAGGAAGAGGGCGTTTCTGAGCAGGTTGTTGTCGAGGTGGTAATAGATCAGTTGGCGGAGCTGGGCGGCGGCAATGTGTGGTTGTGTAGGCGCCATGACAAGATCAGGCGACGAGCCAGTCGAGCGAGAGGAAGAAGCTGAAAGATATGTCGCGAGAGTGCTCAGGTCCACGGAGTAGGAAGGGGACGCGATCGAGAGGTCATGGGTTCCTCCCTCCCAGAGGCTGCTCTGTCCAAAACAACTGCGCCACCGCCGTCAAGGTGCAGGATGAGATGGATTAATGCATGGAAGGCGTCGTCTGGTCAGTAAAGGAACGCAAAGCCAACAGAAGAATGTATAAGGAAGGAGAAGTGAAGGTGGTGTTGTGGATGAGTATCAATAGAATAGAATGCGGCAGGTTACTTGTGAGTTTGGGCTGGTGTTGTTGTTCTGTTTGCAGCGCAGACACTGCGGTGCCTTAATAATTATTAGTGAATGCTCTCGAGGGCCAGCCAGACAGCCCTGCAGTGCCCTGGGAGGCCCGGCAAAACTGTGGCTGGAACGTGCTCCACGTCTACCGTAGCCGCCGTACCGCGGGGAAGTTCACAACTGCTTCAAATTGTCAATCAATAATAGAGGATTACAAGGAGATTGTTGTGATTGTCCTGATTTTGTTTCTTTCTTGGAGTCTACTACGGCACAAACACCTACTGCAGGCTAGTAGGGGATCTATATTCTGCACCAGTTCAACTCCTTTCGGTTCATGTCGAGCACATCTCTGCAGGCGCGCAAATTCTCTCCCCACCACCTACCACCTAACTGATCACTTACTTCGCAGTCATGGCTCAGGTGAGTGACAATTCCCCGTCCCTGTCACCGTATTCGTGTCGCTGACTAGGACTTTCAAAAAAGAAAGCTGCCAAATCGCTCGCCACTCGCAACACAGGCCGTCTGCGGCAAACACACCTTATAACCCTCTCGATCCACATTGTGTTTCTCTTTCTCAAGTTCACCCTCCGCCGCTCTCTGTCCCTGTGGCCCTATCTCTTGCTCAGCGCTCCTGCCATACTTCTCGAAGTATATCTAGACATCCTTGCCCGTCCGACATATCATCCTAATGGCGACTTGAAGAAGGCTGGGGAGGATCTAGACGCAAAAGGCCTGACGGAGTTCATGTGGGACATTCTGTACTGGACCTGGATCAACCTCATTACAGTCGTGATCTTTGGGAATCGTGCATGGTGGCTCTATTTGGTCGTTCCTGCATATGCTGTATATTGCATTGTCGGGGCTGCGAAGGGCGTCAAGGGAATGATGGGAGGACTGGCTGGAGGCGGCGCAGAGGGCGACGACGTGGCACAAAGTAAGAGACAGACAAAGATGGAGAAAAGAGGAGGACAAAAAGTCAAGTATAGATAGACAAGAAAAGCAATGTTTTCAGTCTTGGTACACCATCGGTCAAACCTGTGGATATTGTTATGTTGCACTCCTACCGCTCAATGTACGCCGTCCTCCATCCGCCAATTTTCTGCCTTTACATGGTCCTCTGAAGATCCCTTCCTATACGTATTCCTTGAACCAAGAAGCCTTCCCACATTGGTCTACACGAGTAGACATCTCATCTCTCATCACTCACCTTGTCGAACCACCTGGACAACCCCACCGTTCCATACAGCTCCTTCCACTTCTCTCCCAACTCGTCATCTTCCTCCACATACTCTCCCACAAATTCTGCTGTCTCATTCGCTTTCTTCCCAACACTTTCCTTGACTTTCTCAGCCGCCTCCTCGATCTTTTCGGATGCCCGGGCCATTGCCAGATTGTAGTATTCGACACTGACTTTGGCTTTCTCTGCCAGGCGTTTCGCGCTTGCGTCACGGCGCTTCTTGTAGCGTCCAAGAATAACCGACACAAGGTAGTAAGCTCTGACGAGGAAGCGTTGAATGATTTGCTTCACCAGCATGGTGATTCCGTGGGAGAAGAATGCCCTCAACACTTCGATATGTAACCCCTCGTACAGGGCGGCGACACCTTCAGTCTGCGCGATTGTGAGGACAGTACTGAAGATTGTAGCTCGTGCGGCTTTCCTAGTTCTTTCATGTTTGAAGTCTTCGCTGATAACTTTGTTTTCGTCCTGATCCTCCTTATGCGAGGAGGCGCCACCAGCCTGGAGGCGTGACTTTGCAAGGCTGAATGGGTATGTGATTGAAGACGCACAAGCTTTGCTGATCGCAGATAAGAGGAACGTGAGGCTAGGTGGTGGGTGTTGCCTGGATTCTCTGCGGAGGAGAAGCTTTTTGAGCGTTTCAAATAGAAAGAACGTTATTGTCGGATTGAGCGTGAGAACCAGACTCGCCGAATAACCGGACCAAAATCCCAAAGGACCTTTCTCCGACAGGATGTCCTGGGCAATTTGTCGGGTGGTGGGAGTCGTCGGCGGCGTCGTCCCATTTGACTCCTGCTGTCCTTCCTCCGAAGCTCTCAGCAGAGCGGCGGCCTGTTTCCTTGTGACTATGTTGGCAATCGGGGCTGTTGCCAACTTCGTTAAACTCCCAGCAACGAATCCAACACCCAACTCTTCCAGCGCAGGCAGACTGACTTTCTTGCCGCCATTCAACCTGGTATGCTTGGCGATCCGGCGATCCCTTAAAAAGGAATATATCAAAAAGAACAGAAAAGAATCCGCAATCGTCTTGCCCGTGTCTTGTAGCAGCCCCGTATATAATCCTGCGACTCCACCCTCGTTGTGGTAGATCTTCTGTAGGCCATCAAAGAATCCTTTATACTCTTCCTCGCCAGGACGTGACTGGTCTTTGCGAAGTTGGCGCTGGATCTGGAGGCGTGTTATTATGAGGTCAATTGGATAGAGCGCCGCATTTGAGATTGAGGCGCCAAAGGAGCCCGACAGGGCGTGGCCCAGGGCTTCCAGAGCATGAGATCGCGGCGGTCGCATTGACGAGCGTGTCGCATCTGCTTCTTGGACCAAATGGAAGAGTTCAAAGGCATCCTGCAGCAAGAATCACACGGAGGTTAGCCTTTTCTTCGCATATATTGAGTGAGAGGAGGTGCGAGAAAGTCAAGTCGGGCCAACCGAGGAGAGGAGGATAGAGCAGCAAACATACGAGTTGACTGTTGTACACAAAGTTCGCCATGGTCACGACATCAAACTCATTTGTAGCATAGTGCTGAAGAGAGGTATCAAGTTGACGAGTGGTGACGAAGAAGGAGAGAAACACTAGGAATTTGGAAGATGGAAGATGGAATATTACGATCGTCCCTCGGTGAGCGATTCGATTGAGCAATGATGTTATGTTGGCTCTTTACCCCACACTTGGTGCTCGGCCTTGTCAGTCCTTCTCGGCCTAGGATCACCTCCTTATCACGTGCGAGGCTGCACCGTCTGATACTCCTCGTCCTAGTACTGATGCACGAAGAGAAGGTCGAAGTAACTTGGAAAATTTGTACATTGGAAGCTCACGAGAATGCCCTCAGGTATCCTTCGCTTCCTGAGGGTATCTTATTGAACGAATATCACACCTGACGATTCCCCAAGCCACCAAAATATTGCGCCTTTGTTCTCAATGCGTGCGCACAATGGCTTTTCGCCACCCAATCGCATTGGATCCTTAGTTCTGTCACTTCTTAACGCCGTCATCCTTCATCACGTCATCATCAGCCGCGGCCTCCAGGTGGGTGCAAGGTGTTCAGCCGAGGCCTCTCTAAGCCCTCATACTCGTCCGACGTCTTAAACCATTTTCTGCCGCTTGAAGTTCTCTAGCGAACCTCTCGTCTGCATTCACGTCACTCTCTCCGCCCGTACTCCCTCTACTAACAGGTCGAGCAGGGGCATCCAGGGATGGACTGCGTTTGCTGGTCATGATGCCTGCCATTTGGTGCGTGTTCCCCGAGGTGTTGCTCGATGAGCGTTCGGTCTTGATACTCGTCACCACCGTATGCACGCTCGCAGCGCTTGATGCTCGTCGATCGTTCCTTTGAGGCTTGGGATATGGCTTGCTGGGAGATTTTTTGTCTTCGGGAGTGTATCTTTCTACTTGTTTGGGTTGCCGAGACGACTGTCTTGATCCAGGCGTCCAAGTAAAAGGACCGGAAAGTTCGCCGCTCGCGGCTGTGCCGTTTTGCCCTGCATTCGGAGTGGAAAGATTGTTGTCTTGTTGCAAGGCGCTTGGATTCACTGATCCTGCAACTTGATCATGCTCACTTTTAATGGGTACCGCTTCGTCCTCCGTAGTCCCTAAGGCGGGGTCGATTGGAAGTAATATCGAGTCGTCCCCGTTCGCGGCAGATACGTTTTCCCTGACACGTTCGCCATCACCAGCAGGGCTCCTGTTGTTCGCCGGTCGGGGTGTATGAAAAGTTTCTTCATCAACCTCGTTGGCTAAGTCCGAGGCGTCGCCATTGGTGAGGGCGGGATCAATTAAATCCTCAAAATTGTCAATTTCTGGCTCTATTTGCTTCGACTCCTCGCTGGCAGTGGTGGCACGTTTCGCACTCGCCGATCCACGAGGCTTGGAGGGCTCTGCAACTTTCGCTGGATCGATGCGGCCATACTGATCGTGTACACAACGACGCTGGACTTTGTGAGTAAAAGACAAGTTTCCATATCGGGATCGCTTACCTTGCTCTTCCTGCAGTCCTCACAGGCTTTGCTCCGGCTTTTCTTCGACGATGATTGAGGATCAGGCTGCGTAACTTCCGAACCAACACCGTCTGATATGCGTGCTTCGGGAGAGACAGTGTCTCCCATGGCACCATTTGTGAACGCTGCCGCCCCCGTTACGGAGTGATTATCAGCACTCGAGAAACTCCTTGGCCGAATCTCTGGCGTTCGACGAGGTGTTTCGCCACCTGACTTGTGTCGGCATTTTATGCGGCGTTTCCGGCAAGGTTCACAGGCGACTCTCAATCCGTTTCCTCTGGATCCATTTTTGGCCGGAGGCGTCTGAGCAAGTGGTCGAGGTTGGGCTTGTGCCGCCTCCGCCAGAGCCTGAGCCTGAGCTTGAGCCTGCGCAACTCTCCGAGACGAAATTCGTTCCCCAGGCACCCGGAATGGCTCGGCCTTTTTGGATTTCTCTCCTCCCTCTAGCTCTGCTATGCTATCCGAGTGAACCCAGTCTGGTGCGGTGGTGTTGCCAATCTTCCATGCACACCAAATTGCGAATATTTTGATCATCATGAGCGGATCCCCATACCCCTTAGGTATGGATGCCTTGACCGCGTCGATCTGTTTTTTGGTGATATCTGGCACTGGCAAACCTGCATCTATCCGGGCTGTCCGATAAAGGAAGTCTCTTAATGACGGCCAACCATTCGCCTCAGACTTCGGGTAATATCTTGAATTGTAAGCCGGATCACCAGGCTCTGCTGTATTCTCAAACTCTCCGACTTCATGCCAGATTGGGTTCGCTCGGAGGAAGACATAGTCGGGGTCGTCGTAGAAGTCATCCAACACCTCTTCCGGTACAGGATCATCGTCAAGATATTTGATCAATGCGTACCACATGACCTTCTGGAAATAAGGGTAACGGAATTTGGGAGCCACTTTAGTCGCCTTCTCGATGCTCACGACTTTGAGCTGCATCTCGTAATCCAGACGAGTCAAATAGTTGCCACCAATTACCAAGCTGTCTTCCGGAGTCCAAACAGAATGGATCCAGCCCGCAGGGATAAACGCTGTGTCTCCCTCGTGGAGGTCAACTCTTGTACAGTTGCCACCGCAAAGGTCTCCCAGCCAAGTCTCATTTTGCGAGCCCGAGTTGCACCATTCTTCGTACTTCTTCAGGTATCTGTCTTCAGGAGGGATGAAGAAGAACGTCTTCGTCCCTCGCAGGATATGGTAGTACACAGAAGAGCCTCCGAAATCGATATGGAAGTCCGTGTAGCTGTCAGCAACAGACATTAGGCAATAAAACGATACTGGTCTTTTCTTCAACCGGGTATCAGCGTCAGCCGCCCAAACTTGGTCGTCCAGATCAAGATCTCGAACTACTTTGGGACGCCGGATAAGTCTCCCAAGTGGACTGTGTGAGACTTCAAGACTGATAACATTCCGGATAGGCTTTTCCCCTTCCAATTCGTAGTAGTCTGCCCACTGTTGGAGTGTGAAATATCCCTTGGTCTCCTGAGACTTTACATCGATCACGGGCACGGGCTCTTCGGGACCATAGAGCTCGGCCACTTTTCGGACTGTCAAATCGCGTGGGATCACCATATCCAGCAAATCCTGGTCGCAATCAATGACCTCTTCTTCCTGGAGGTCCGATGCGGACGTTTTGTCGGGACCCACTTCCGCACCGGAGCTGTCGATGAGGGTGAAAGCCGCAGCGTCTTGGGTAGGAAGTGCTGAATCGCGTTGGACGGATACGGGCCTTACACCAAACCGAGGATTCCATTCAGCTGGAACCACAAAGGGACGTTTGGGACCCTCAAAGCTTTCCATGAACTCCATTGTAAGCAATTCTGGCCTGATTCGGGCAAAGTCATCGGGTAGAACGTTTATCTTGCCCTCTTTAATCGGTTGGATGTAGTGGTGGGTCGAGGTTTCGACAGACGACTTCACCACACCCTGATTGAGGCCAGCATAGTCAATGGCAGTCCTGGGACGGGATGACTTCCGGACGTAGGTAGTCTGCCCATGTATAGGTTCACAGTCTTTACAAACATACTTGTCCACACTTCTTGCATCTGCCTTTGTCTTGAAACCGGCGCATTCGGCATGGAACCAACGTTTGCAAGCGTCACAACTGATCCAGAACGTAGACGTGTCTTCGTCATCCACGGAGTCTAATTGTAGACGCTGACATGCCGCGCAAACCTCGGCTTGCTGCTCCGGCTTTATGCGACGCTGCTTCTTGGGTATCGGCTCTGCTTCAACAACTGCAGAATCCAGTGGTTCTTCAGATACAGGTGGCAGAGCATCAACAGCGGTTTGAGGTCCTCTGAGCCCTCGTGCTCGAGCATCCAGAGGGTTTCCCTCATACGCGGTTTCCTTGTGGATAGACTCGGAACCCCCTGCTGTTGAGACATCCCTCGCATTGGGCAGATCTTCGGTCAGGTATCGTTCTCTGGGCCGGCTCTTGATGCTCTGTCGTAAATGCACGACCGGACGTTCCTGTTGCTGCGGGTTCTGTAGCTTCGAAGGGGACCGGGGAGAGCTCGGGGATGTCGATGGTGGATACTCCGGCATCGTGTCAAGCTTGGGGGTATTTGCATGATTTTTGAAATTGACCTCATTCTTCAGTTCAAGCAATAGAAGTGCATCTTCGTGGTCAACATCGGGTATACTGCTATATCCACCGCTTGTTTTTGGTCTTTCTGCACGCGGCGACCACTCGAGGGTCGGCAATCGTTCGGACTTGATGCGTTTCGCAGGCGGACCATTTGAGGGACCTTCATGACTGTAGCGCCGAGTATAGGAAGTCAAAGGGCGGTTGGTATTGTTGATGCTTCCCTTGGAAAGAGAAAGAGTGGCTGCGCTAGCCAAAACGGGGCTTGTTGCAATTGCGGCAGTCGCAAGGTCATCGATTGTAGAGCCGGAACGCGTATGTCCCTTTCCATGAAGGCGCCGATTGTCTTGTAAGAAGCCGGAGGTAGGATTGGAGTTTCTCGTCGCCCAGTCCAGTGACCCAACTCTGGAGCGCCCATAAACCGTGTTCGCGCCACCTTTTATCCTTGCTGCAATATGAGCGGCACCGTCCTGGTCGTAATATAGGTGATCTGGTTGTAGCGCGGAGTCATTATCCTCGGACGATCCAATGTCGGACAGTCCAAGTCCTCTTAATGAGTAACCGTGTTGAGGTGAATATCGCAGAGGGAGCGATGAGCCTTCGAGGGTAGGGGTTTCGCTTGCGGGATCAGGGGAAAGGCGCTCGATGACTTCGGCGGATGGACGGACAGGGCTTGCACCCCGGTGCCCTGCCAGATGGTGGTTCCGGCGCCAGACGGTTGAGGTAGGCATGATTACCGTCGAGGACGAGGTTTAAGGTCGCAGTCGCAGTCGAAGTCGAACTGGTTGCGGAGGTGGGGTTGGCGAGTCGAGAGGCAACTGAGCTGTGTGCGGGAGGATGGCAGGAGGATTGGCTACATTGGTGAACAAGCTGATCTGACCTCCGACAGGAGGCCGCACGCAGGGAGAAAGGGAGTGAGGGATATCGGATGGTAAATCAAGAGTTGTCACGGTCGAGGTTGTTGTTCGGAACAGGATCGAGGTTGACCGCAGACGCAGATGGGAGTCGACTTGTGACAATACAACACGTACCGAGATTACCGAACAATTTTACAGCACCGCATTTTCTCCCTGCGCCGCCTGCCTCTTAACCTCACATTTCACTTTGTGTTTGAGGTCCCTCTATTTTCCGTGCCAAAGGAGCGCTTTTAACACAGACGGATCCTATCCCATTCGCGTGGCAGGTGCACAAGAGCCCAGATTGAATCGAGCCTTGATACACGCCCTTGTACGGACACTTACCAATCTGCCGTAAATTCTCCTCGTACATCTTTTCAACGTCCTTCAACGCAAGAGGCACACCGCTTCCCTTTCAACAGTCGCCGTCGACAACTCCTTCCGTTTCACCAAGCCGCGCCGTCTTCTCACTCCTTTCCTCCGCAATGTCGCGAAGTAACAAGCTCGCGCCCGAGGCAAATCGGATCCTCTTTGTTAAAAACCTTGCGTACGATATCGACACCCCTGCCCTCTTCGATCTCTTTGGGAAATTCGGTCCCGTACGCCAGATTCGCTTAGGTACATCGAATACTACAAAAGGCACAGCCTTTGTGGTCTATGAAGACGTCTTGGACGCGAAACAAGCGTGCGACAAGCTGAACGGGTTCAACTTTCGAAACCGGTATCTGGTCGTGCTATACCATCAGCCGGAGAAAATGAAGATGGAGGTCAAGGAGGACATTGTGATGAGGCAGGCAAATCTGGAGAGGATGAAAAAAGAGCATGGCATCGAGTAAAGGAGCATCACCGTCGTACGCAGGCTGATTGTCCGCGGCCGGAGTGCTGAGGGCGCAAGGGCGCAAATGGAATTGTCCGAGGTTTTGCCGCGACATAAAAATTCAAGTTGACGGCCGAGTTTTCACACAACAAAATGACCAGATATTTCGGTGTCGAGGCCTCGTAGTCGACTCAGGCTATTGCAAAGTCAAAACCCTCACGGGGCATCAGGAGAGTTGCTGGGTCTCCGGCAAGTTCACAAGTGGGTTATTTTCGTTTACTGTCCGCGTCACTGGCACGGTTATATTCCCTTCTAAATCACCGCCAAACCCACGACCATGGACGATCATATCGTGGGTGTTCTTGGTGGCGGCCAACTAGGACGTATGTTAGTAGAGGCCGCGAACCGCCTCAACATCCAGGTTGGAGTCCTTGATGCCGACAGCGCTCCTGCGAAATATCTGGCAAACCATGACATGCATGTTACTGGATCATTCGCCAACGCATCCGACGTTAAGGCACTCGCTTCTGGATGTGACGTCCTGACCTACGAGATCGAGCATGTCGATACCGAGATTCTTGAAAAGCTGGAGGCGGAGAAACCGTTTATCGAGGGCACCCAATGGTCGCGATTTCAACCCAGCTGGCGAACGGTCAGGACAATACAAGACAAATTCACTCAGAAGCAGCATTTTGCAAAATATTCAATTCCGATCTCCAAGTCCATTGCGGTCAGCCCGTCACAGCAAGGACTGATAGATGCCGGCGAGATACTTGATTATCCATTCATGTTGAAATCTCGAACCCAAGCCTACGATGGAAGGGGTAACTTTCCGGTCAAGTCGATGTCCGACATAGGACCTGCCATTGCAGCCCTCGCAGAACGACCTTTGTATGCCGAGAAATGGTCTCATTTCAAACAGGAGCTCGCAGTCATGGTTGTTAAAACTGCCCAGGAAGACGATCCAGACGCGTGGGAGCAGCATACCTTGGCGTACCCTACTGTGGAAACCGTTCATGAAGACAGTATCTGCAAGCTTGTCTATGTTCCGCCCAGGGATGTCTCGCAGGAAGTCGCACGGGCAGCCCAAGATCTGGCTCGACGCGCTGTTTCAACCTTTCGGGGAACTGGCGTCTTCGGCGTTGAATTGTTCCTCCTTCCTGACGACAGCCTCCTCGTTAACGAAATCGCGCCCCGCCCTCACAACTCTGGGCATTATACAATTGAGGCATGTCACATGTCCCAATTCGAAGCACAGATCCGTGCTATTCTACCTGATCTGGCCTCAAAGATCCCAGCTGGGGCGACGGATCTAACAGTCAATGCGGCAATTATGTTGAATATTCTCGGAGGTCCACAGCCTGACTCCCATACGCTGGTCGCCAAAGCCGCACTTGACGTGCCGGGGGCGAAAATTCATCTCTATGGGAAGGGTGAGGGACGACCAGGACGGAAGATGGGACACATTACAATCACCGGATCAAGCTTATCGGAATGCGAGATCAAAATGCACCCTCTGATTCAGATGGTCGACGCCATACGCGTGCATCGCCACGATCGGTCTGGTGAGCCATCTGTTTCCTCGATTCTCAAGACTCAGGCCGAGCTCCTCGGTGCAAATCCCGCACCGTCTGCTCGGGCTGTCGTGGGCGTGGTAATGGGGTCTGACACCGATCTGGCTACGCTTCGCCCCGGCCTCACGCTACTTGACTCCATGAACATTCCTTACGAGGTGCACATTACCTCGGCTCATCGCACGCCGCAGTACATGCTTGACTTTGGCAAATCTGCAGCTAGTCGTGGGCTGAAAGCTATAATAGCGGCGGCTGGTGGTGCAGCACACTTGCCGGGTATGATGGCCTCGGAAACGCCAGTGCCCGTCATTGGCGTGCCCGTGAAAGCCAGCTCTCTGGATGGACTGGACAGCCTGCTGAGTATTGTGCAAATGCCGCGGGGTATTCCTGTAGCTACGGTAGGTATCGGGAACTCAGTCAATGCAGCGATTTTGGCAGCTAGGATTGTGGGATCAAGCGACGAGAAAATACGGAAGTGGGTTGCAGACCACCTACAGAAGATGAACGATGAGAACATGGAGAAGGAGTACCGACTGCAGAGAGAAGGCTGGAAAGTTTACAAGAAATTGGACGGGTAAATGGCGCAATGCTTGAGGAGATCCCCGATGTTGTCAATTTTTCCAAAAGATGGGCGGATGGACATGATATTGCTTTTGGAACTCATTCCCGCACCGCCAATATTGCCTGTTGTACAAAGTTGATCCTTCCGGCCTTTCCCAGAAGGAATCGTAATAGAGGGAGATCGAATACGAACTCCCACGTCACACATCATCTTCTTTTGAACCTACTATCAGCCAGGACCACAACTTTGCCTTGTCCACCGTTGTCGACCAAGAAAACCAGGAAATAGTCGCCTCCAAAATCTCACAGATTCCCGGACAGTGCCTCCGGGGAAGGCAGACCATGGTCTGTTACACAACAGACTTTGGTGGATGGGCAGACAGTTTGAAGGAGTCACAGCATCATCGGTCTGTGACTTTCCGGGCCGGGAAGATCAAGGTCGAGATTGCATCCGAGTCGAAGAACAGGTGGCACCGTCTAACGTGATCATGGAACACAAGCTGTGCCTAACGTAGCCACTGTAGTTAGTAGGTCGAGGTGGTTGTCATTGAGATAACCTTGATTTTGCATCTACACAAGTGCACCCATGTGGAAGGCTACCGCTGGGTGGTTGGATAAACACGATGTACACCTTCGATCACTTTCACAGGTATGCACAGTATGTTCCACTCAAGCTTTTTCTCATCAGACCGTAATATTCCTTATTTTTGACTTTGGGTGCAAGGTCGATATGTACGAACGGGGTAAATGGCGGCGAAACACGAAAAAGTGCGAGAAGCGAACGCGGGCCAGGCGAGGAGGTCGGGACACAAGAAAAATCGACTACGAGGTAGACTTCCAGATCCCCAGAGTCCAGCGGCCACGGAGTAATTTATCTGGTAATTGTGGCCAGAGTGAGATGAGAGATGTGATTTGATGGATGCTTTGATGTTAAAGGTGACTCAAAGGACGATCCCTTGAACTCGCTCTCGTTTCTCCAGTCCTGCCACGCCTGCGCTCCCTCACTTTTTCCTCATTCCTCATTCCCCGGCCCCCAAATGGCTTTGCAACCCGACAATCACTGCCTGCCTTGGGCCCTTGTGAGCAAGGGACTGGCTTGTCCTCGCTTGAGTGTGTGAGTCTTTTTGCGGAGAAGCTCGCATTCCCAAGCATCTCCCTTGCAATGGATGAATGCTGTGTGTCCATCTCCCACCGGTCAACGTGTCCAGGCCTCACTCATGCCCACAAGTCATCCCACCCTTTTCACCACATTTACCCCTTCTAGAGTCACTTCCCCAGCCTTGACCGCTTGGTCGGTGTATTGGGCATCAATGCACTCACACTTGCACCTCCCCCGATTGCGTGCGGTGGTGGTGGTGATGCAGAGCATAGTTGGATCTCCACAGCAAGTCAAGCACAGCATACAAGAGTACAACACACAAGCACAGCTGAAGGAGCCTCTTTGCTGGCCCACATCTCGCTTCCGACTAAGGACAAGAAGGGAGAAGTACTCGTAAGAGAAGGAAATGGGGCGCTGGGGCGCTGGACACATCCGGCGCCAGGAATCATCCCCCCGTCTTGTGGTGATATCCACCTGCATTCTCTCCCCGTGGCCGCCTTCTCTTCCATGCCCTTCTTGCATTGCTGGTTTCTCGGGTTGCCCATTCCGCGTGTCACATCCGCACGGCGGCCGAGGAGAATTTGGGGGCAGGTTTTCTTGCATTTCCAATCCACCAGGGTGTCCCCCAGACCGACCGGGGCATACGAGATGGCTGTGAGCCAACCAAAAAGAAAAATTCAACAAAAAAACTTGGAAAATCACAAAGCCTACCAACCGGGATTCGGTGATAAAACTCTACTGTGCCGGGATAATACGAGTGCGGGATGGACACGATGGGAAAAGCGAATTTTGCATCAAGTAAGCTGTTTGTGACTTGGCAGCTCTGCAAGCCTCCAAACGATGGTGCAGCTCATTGTGTCTCTCTAATCACCAACCAGTGGATTAGGACCGCAAGTCCGTACCAACGCGTAGGTAAAGACTCCTGCATGCCTCACACCGGTACGAGTAAGTTTCCAAAGCATCGGAAATGGATTTGCCCACTTTGATTAGCCGAACTATGGGACTATGGGGAGGACGAGAAGTTTGCTTGCTTCGGATCCTCTTTCAAATCGATCGAGAGCACGTCACCCCCTTCGACTTGCAGTGTGCAGCACACAAAAAGGGGGCGATCAATCGCCTCACGGATCCCACCGATGCATACCAGGAAAGGGCGATCAATTGTCTCAATCAAGGCCCAGAATAACAAACCACAAAGAAGGGGAGGAAATCCAAGGGAGGAAACTCACGGTCAGGCCCCGTGTGCAGAACAAACACCAAGGAATTGGATGCTCCTGAATGTCCTCCAGTCAATGACCGAATGGGCTTGATTGAATTACCATCGGCTCGACTTTTACGGCCTAGTCCTCTCATCCTGTGGCTCGGGTCCATTCCATCACCCCCTGCTCGATGGCCCGGCGCGCCTCGTGGCGCTCCGGGGAAACCTCTGGTGGCTTTTGGGGGAGCTGACAAGGTCCAGCCGGATTCGTTTGAAATGCGACAATCCCACGTCGCCTTGACCGCTAGATTTTTGGGGGACCCGAGCATTTGCTCAGCACTCCCACTCCCACCCTGACTTGCGAAGGGGTATATTTGACCCAGGCTCCCTCAGAAAAAAAAAATAAAGGTCCCATGAGATCTCTACTTCCTTCTTCTTCCATCACTGTACCCAGAGATAATAATCAGCCATTAGTATCAGTCCATTGACGAATATTTACCACTATCTTGTTCCATCCTCCACCAGCCTTGGACCTTGTACATTTGTACCTGCAGCAACTGCCGATCAACGCGGCTAGCGAACATATCAAGTGCCGACCATCAGGACTTGTGAGTTGATCATCACCTCGATAAATACTGGGTCTATTTGAATTAGCACTGACCAGCACTTGATAGCTCAAGCACATCCCTATCTTTCTACATCCTTTGAACCCTGCTATAGACCCGGCCACCATGCAACGCATCTCATATCGCTCTACCGTGCTGTCGTCCGAGACGTCAAGCCGCGACATGCACAAAGCCTTCGAGGCATCACCACGCCCCAAGTTTGTTTCCTACACCGATCGACGGCAGCATGCTGAGACTCATCCTCCTCCACCCCCACCATCACCAGTCCATTGGACCCGTGAGAAGCAGAGCCGCTAGGTGTCGGTTCTCTAGCAGGGTGTTTCGGATTTCATTGAGTCTGGTTGGCGAATAGAGCGTTGTGTGTTCAAGGATTTGGCTTCCGCACTGTCATTCATAGGAACAAGTTGATTTTGCTTTGTGCAGCTTGGATATGGACTAATGGCAGTAACGTCGTGAAGTGAGCATGGTTGTTTTGCTCCTGTTATATAGTTATGTCGGCCTCATCGTGGGCCTCTGGAAGTCTCTCAGACGACTCGTGCATCTGAGGAGCCTTGCTATCAGATTGAGAATAAATTTCCTCCAACGTTGAGCGAGTGTCTGGAGTTGCCTGAACCACTTGTTCATTAGGATCTTGAATATCGCCACGCTGTGTTTCATGCACCGCTGCCGAGTCGACAGATGCAACATTGTCATCCACGAATGTGCGAACAACATCTGTTTCACCACGGTCCCGTTTTACTTTGACCAGCTTTTCCAGGAATGCCGCCTGTTTTCTCATCTGATCATCTTGCCTATGCTGGGCTTGTGGGACCTCGCCACTTGCACCTGCTGGGTTATTGACAGCCTGCCCATCCGGCCCCGCTCCTTTGGATGATTTCTCCTTCTTCAGCAGTTTAGCTGCCTGGCCGACGAGCTTGATACGTGACATGCCTATCAGATCGTAGTCGTCTGTTGATCGAAGAACTTCGGCGGCATCCAGCACGCCTGTATGGGTGAAGAACATGTTCGTACCCACCATATCTGCCCACATGCAGCTATACACCTGGCCTTGGTAGGAGATTATGGGATTTGCCGTGGCTAAATCGAGAATTTGCAGATGTGACGGCGAGGGCAGATGGGTATCATCGTCACCATGTCTGTTGATGCGGGAGGGTGTTTCGCGTGGCTCCTGAGCATCTTCAGCACCGGACTCTGTGAACTCGATAGCACCGGGCTCGTCCGGACCAGGGGTGGGAGGACCAGAGTTGGTTAATTTTCTTTTGGCCGGCGTCACTGGCTTGGGAGGCACGGGGACGTTGGATTTGATGTTAGAGTTCCAGGACGACAGGTCAATGTCCACGAGGAAGGTCTGCCCAGAAGAAGAAAATGTCAAGGAACGAACAGCTTTTGTGGTACATGAATGGCAAAGAGAGCGGCTTGGTTTCAATCCATTGCAAAAGATGCCCTACCTCTGTCTCGGCGTCGTCGTATTCATATTCAAAATCATCTTCCAAGGAGTGTTGGTGTTGATCCATGACGGGTGATCATAACGACAGTGGTCATGCACCCATTAAATTGGGTTCTGAGATGTCGAAATGCGAGTCCTACAGAAGGTGATGGGATGGGGTAAGATAGGTTGACAGAGAGTACCTCTCCTAACTGCTTCACTCCCATGTTCAGAAGCCCAGTCCAAGTTTTCTCTGAATCACGTGATTATCACAAAAGGATTTCAAATGACACGTCACAGAGTCTTTACTCTGCATCTACGTCCCGCAACCGTCTCTCTTGGCCCCTCGCTCTCTCCCGGGCCTCACCCACTCTGCTCGATCTAGAACCCAAATTCAGAGTGCCTAGTTCTTTGACGATGCGATCCCTTGCTTGCTGATAGCTACATCTCCTCCATCCCATCCAACGTGCTATAAATTCCTGACTCCATTGGAGGTCTCACCCCACCCTTCCTGATCTCACACTGGCAAGGAAAAACAAGCCCAGAGCTTGGGATGAAACAGCCAGGTGCAAGCAATGAAACAAGTCAAGATCAGCGACTGGACAAGGTGGTACATCAGGGCAGATGGATTGGTCTACCTTGACCGACTCAAGTCCGGATCAGGCTTTCCTTTTGTTGGGTGGTTGCGGGCGTCGCTACGTTTAACCACTGCCTGCAGGGTTGACACCGGCTAGCGCCCGGATTCTGACGAGCAAGTGGTGAAGTCATTGGCGGCATTTGGGTCAATGACAGGTCAGGGCGAGCCAAAGGTCAATCCGAGACAATCGAGGCAAAGGGATCAGGGACAGAGGGAGCGGAGGGAACACCTGGTGCCCGTCACCTCCGTCATTATTGCCTCTTTCTCTGACCCCTCTCAGCTTCTCCTTCAGCCCGTGCATTCCAACTTTCTTTTCACTCACAATCATCACATGTATCCATCTCTGGCATGTGGTACTTCGTCTCTTCCCTTGGATATTCATTCAATCAGGACACCAAGCTTGACTGACCTGACAGGCCACTGACTAAAGTAGCCGCCCCCGCCAATCACTCGTCAGACGCAGATAAGGTACCATCGAAAACAGAAAACACCCCCAGCGAAACCCCTCAACACAACTCGCCCCGGAGGCTCGGACATTCGGTCAGCCTGCGTCCCAGTCGCCAATCATAGCAAAGAGTACGTCAATGCTTTCCTTTTCCTGGACGTCGACACCTGTCTTACACATTCGGCGCGCGGAACTTGGCGGAATGGTCTCTGTATCACAGTATTATTCATGCCCCCTTCACCAGCGGGACTCCCAGCAAAACCCCCAAAGGCAGCTTTTCGGTCGCTTACGGCGGCGGAGAGTAATGCGATGACGCTGAGAGTCAATGGCATTACTCCTCCCGTCGTAACCCATTGTTGCTCCCCTCCAGCACCTTAGACGCATTTCCCTCAATGCAGTCACCGCGCTCCCCTCCCGGGGGCCTTGCTGGGCCGCATTCCCGCTCTCGCCGTAACATCCGCGTGGGTGGATGAGGCTGTGGTCAAATCACATTCCTTCCCTTGTTGTCAGCTTGCCTTCCTCGTGATGTTCTGGCTAATCATTTCGGGTTCGCTCTTATGTACAGTGGCCTTAGCCTTGGGGTCCCATCATGCCAGCCAACCACCGCTTACTCGATCATTATATACCGTTACGGCGGAACCCTCTATAACTCCCATCACTTCCTCCCCCGCGGCCTGGGTCCCTCCAGCACACGACCAGCTTCTCCTCGCCGCACCACCGTCCTCAGACACAGAACTTGATTCGGCAACGTCCACCATCATCGTCCCCGTCGAACCCAACACCACTGAATCCAATCCCCCATATGAACCGGTGACTGGGAAGGCCCTGGAGGGAGAAGAGCAGATGGGTCCTGTCAAGACAAAGGCCACCATTGGTGTGCTGTCGACACTTATATTTTACATGTGCGCCAACAGTGTATTGAGGGCCACACGTCCAGAGGTATTCATTTGGCAAGACGAAGACCGAGAGGAATCCAGCTGGATCGCTACCTCACGGTATTGGCTCGACAGGAAATGCTGTCGATGGCTGGGTGTCTGCGGTGCATTCCACATGCACTATATCTCGGAACACGACAAGTTCGGCCATCGTCCCTCGATTGATCACCGAGAGCGAGTGGTGGTACCCACGCCTGACTGGGACTGGCAGCATGCCTGGACTGAGGGCAACGACCGCCCTGAAGATTGGACCGACGATGAACGGGTCCTGAGGGTGATCCCGGACTACGTGTTCGAGTATGCTCCTCTCGTCCACCTCTACTCGGGAGAGCAGTTCTGGCCCTGCGACATTGCTGAGCACCTCTACCACATCACCCCAACCTTGAACTACACCCCGGTCCAGTCCGAGCAGCAGCATCCATCACTCCAAAACTTGGACGAGCTGAACAATTGGGACAAGGGCCGGTGGGTGTTTCTGACCAGCAACGACAACGTGGAAGAACGGCCAGACTGGTTGGAGGGAGAGAAGAACATCCCAACAGGACCGTCGAGACCAGATGACCCGTTAGAAGGCAATGAGGGCTGGGTCCACAAACCAGGACGGACATATCTACAAGGTGTGAAGGATGCATTGGACGACGCGAAAGAATGGTTTGCACCGGACTTGGATGACTTTGAGGATGGTGATGATTTTCAAATGACAACCTCGGGCCAATCAGAGCAGACACAGGCCGCACGCCGGATTCATCATGAATTGAGACGCTCAACAAGTCGGGATCACGCGCCGCCAGACAGGCTGCGAGGAGGTCGAAGTGATGCACCTGCAGTTCTTGTCACCGTCAACAAGGGCCATGGCATCGTCGACGCTTTTTGGTTCTTCTTTTACAGCTTCAACTTGGGGAACGTGGTGCTCAATGTCCGGTTTGGCAATCACGTGGGCGACTGGGAACACACCGCCATTCGATTCCAACACGGCAAGCCCAAAGCCGTGTTCTTCAGTGAGCACAACTTCGGATCCGCCTACAGCTACGATGCCGTGGAGAAAATCGGCAAACGCCCCGTGATCTATTCCGCTTACGGGACTCATGCCATGTATGCAACTCCTGGCACTCACCCCTACATCTTGCCATGGGGGATCCTCCACGACCTGACAGACAGGGGGCCTCTATGGGATCCAGCTCTGAATTCGCACGCTTATACATATGATTACAAGAACGACACGCTGCGGTCGTCTAACCGCACCCCGAATGCCCCGACCAACTGGTTCCACTTTGCTGGACATTGGGGGGATAAGTTTTACCCTCTGGGTGATAAAAGACAATATCGATTCGCCGGACAATACCATTATGTCAACGGTCCCCTCGGTCCGAAGTTCAAGCACTTGGGGAGGAAGAAGATCTGTCAAGGACCAGAGAGTTCTCCTTGTGTTGTCAAGAACTGGCTAGGCAGTGGAGATAAGATTGGCCATTTACATCTGTCCGACCCAGAAGCGGAGGAAGGAGACAACAACCTATAGATGACTACGCGGAGATGGTGCAGACGAGACACGAGTTATGGACATGACTCTTGCTATGTTTTTGTTTTGTTTTTTGATATTTTTACAGTCCTTTGATGACCAGCATCATGATACCCTTTGCGATACATTTTGGGCGGGCGAGGGATTGGAATTTGTGGTTGGCGGCGTTCCGGGATGGCGTTCTTGAGGATCTGGGGGATCTCTGTTTTATTATACCCATCACACCCTCCTGCCATAGACAGGGTTGGATACCTACCATAGCTACTGTACCAGTTAGGGAGAAGACATTTGGAGAAGTGAAGAGAGTTGGATGTTGAATGAGTGTGTTCATCACCACAACCACTAGACACAACTGGTCTCCATTGAAAAATTCCCCGCGTGTCCAGCATTACAAATATCAAAGTGCACAAGTACGACGAATGAGTACATAGAGCCACATAACAGCTCCCACACCGCGCGACGAAGTCTGTGCTTGACTTGACTATGCATCCCTGGATACATAAATATCCGGGGCTTGACGCACAACGGCCCAGGACCTCATATCTCCGGGATTTCATACATGTACTCGGCACTGAGTTAGTGCTACCACTTCTACGGGTAGCTCCTCTAGCTCCTCCAAGGGATTTCTTTGAGGGTCCTACGAGTACATAGGATCTACCCGTGTTCGATGTAGCTTAGTTAGTGGTTCTAAATATGTACCTAGTCACCTCCTCGGTAGTACTAGGCACTCGTGCGAGAGGTACTGTAATGTACCGAGTATGTACAAGTAGGTACTCGGTACTGCGGTACTGTCCCTCGAGGTGCTGTACCGAGTACAGGTAGAACGCATCGTAATTAGCGGGTTTTTTGATGCGTCTCACCGAGTCCATCTCACCCCTCCAACTAACTAACTCCCCCAACCTCCTCGTTTTTCGATTATCCCGCCATGCCAATGCCACTTGCGGAGAGTGGTTCCGAGTACGAGGTACATAGTAGAATTCGCCAAATATAAAATACCGAGGACTCGTAAGCAATCGGTGGGTGGGTGGTACTAGGTACTTTATGGCATACGCTAATGCTCAATGGTCCGTCTGTTCTCTGCATAACTACCCAGGTACGAAGTGTGGGCACATACTATGGCCTACGCACCCCGCAGGCACCTGGTACCTAGACACATGACTGCCCAGGGGCCTTGTCCTGGAGAGGTGTGTCGAGTTCCCAGGAAAATGCTTCCTGGGCGCAATAGGGTCGGGTTTTGTTACACCCATTCATTTCGTAGTCTGTGACTTTTCCTCCAGCCTGAGAAGAAATACCTACGTTCCGAGTGCATAGGAACCAGACTACACGCCCTCCAAGTCAATGGTTTGCTGCCGTAAATATCCTAAGCTGTATCTTGCCTGTTTACCCTGTACTAAAGGCGTGTATGTATATATGTCTACATTGCTGCTCGTCAGGTCACTCCTCACCGAACCTCACCCGCCTTCCCTTCTCCTGTTCTCGATGCACGTAGACACCCGCCAGTTCCGCCCTCGGGGGCAATCTACAAATCTCTCTTCTCGATAACTCAGCTGATGCGCGGGTGGCGCTCCTTCCATCTGGGTCTGGTTGGGGAAACGAATAGCCGGATCCTGCTCTCGCCCTCCAGCCCATCGAACGCACTCGACGGTCGGGTCGCTGCGGCCGCATTGCTGTGGAACAAGCGGTATCCCCCGGATGTCGCAATCAGGGCGGACTCGGTTGTAGGTTTCGTGGTGGTGATGGTGGTGGTGCACGATGATGTAGAGAAGAGGGACGATACACGAACAAAGGCGACAAACAACCCCATACAGACGTATCGTGCACTTCGGCCATCTCGGAACCCTTGACTAACCCAGCTACATGATAGCTGACCTCATAGTTGCAAAGGTACCCAGGGTGTAGGTACTATAGATGGAAATGCTGCGGTATCTGTATCTTGGTCTGGGGTCACTCAGGGCACGCACCACTACTAGATCATGAAGTGGACGTGGTTTTCTGTCTTGATGGATTCTCATTCTCGGACGGAGCGGCGATTGTCTCTGCCAAAAAGAGGCGGGAGGGAGGTAAGTTGAAGGATGAGCAAGCTTGGAGGTTTGCCTACTTCGATAGACTCTAGTTCTCATCTCTCTGGATGGATATACATGCCTTCCAGTTTGGGGTGGCTAGAATCAACCCCCTTCCGGAACTCTGAGTTCATGTCGAGTTCTAGTCTGATGTGCTGCCGCATAGCCAATGGCTGCTGGGGCTTGGGATTGGTTGAGGAAAAGAATCATCACTTCGAAAGTCAGGTTCTCTCCCAGGCTACCCCGTACACACTTCGGCGACTGGTAAGGCTGACACGCTGAATGGCAAGGCTGAGGAATGTCTTGGCAGGGTCATGACCTCAAAGCCCCGCCGGCAAGGCAACGGTTCTTGGTCCATTCCAAAGGACTGCGCCTCCGACTGCTGAGTGAATTTTGTAAGATCTTCATGCCCGCTCCGTCTGAGCAAGTCAGACGAACAACTTGCAATCGAGACGAATACATGGGACAATAGCAATCACGACAGTGCACTGTCCCCGCCACCGCACATGCACCCACCTGAACTCTTCCCCTCGTCAGCTGCCGAGTTGCACCATGATCTCGTTTCAGCCGTCCAGTCCTCGCAACTCTCCACAAGTCTTACAGTAACAGCCACATCTATACTCTTCAGTATAGCGACAGCAGCTGCTTCTCCTCCTCTTACCGTCATATCTTCGCCGACTCCATCACCCTCTTCAAGCATGTCCGATGACAATAGCAGTGGCGAATGCAAACTACTAGGCCCTTTCGCTATATTGGTGCAGGGAGCGCTGGGCGCTTTGGCACTATTATCCCTGGTTTACAAGAGATGGAGAGAAAGGCCACAGCGACCTCTCAAGGTCTGGTCTTTTGACGTGTCCAAACAAGTCGTCGGGTCGATCCTACTCCATCTATTAAACCTCCTCATGTCGCTTTTCTCCTCTGGCAAGATAGGTGAGACTGTGGTGAATGCAACAGCAAGTACACCCGGGTCTGAAACAATTGCGGAATACCAACCAAATCCCTGCTCATTTTACCTGCTCAATCTGGCCATTGACACGACTATCGGGATCCCCATCCTGATCGGCATACTCAAGATTTTGACGATCGGTGCACGGTATACACCTCTCGCGAATCCTCCCGAATCGATCGAATCCGGAAATTATAGCACACCCCCCAAGGCCTCCTGGTGGGCAAAGCAATGCCTACTCTACTTTTTAGGATTGATAGGCATGAAGATTTGTGTATTTATTATTTTTCAACTTTGCCCTTGGTTAGGACCCGTTGGAGACTGGGCACTTGGATGGACAGAGGGCAACGAGGCTGTTCAGATTGCATTTGTCATGTTCATCTTTCCCTTGATTATGAACGCAGCCCAGTACTATATCATCGACACATTCATCAAACAGAAGAAGGGACCACAAAATGACAGCGAAGAAGAGATAGAGCATGAAAGAGGTGAAGAGCATGGTTCTTTGTTGCCAGATGCAGGATCCGATCATGGCCACTCACTCGATGAGGACGAGGTCTGCAAAGCCAAAAGTTTGGCCTCCAGCCAGCTCGAGAGGGTCATCTCATATGACCCGGACAAGGACGGGCACGTGGTTGAGAACGAACGACCAGGCGAGAGCAGCAGCTTGACCGCTCACGCCGAGGAGGAAGGCTTGGAGGACCGGCCTCGGATATGATTTGGGATGTTTGTTTGCATTGCTTTGGATGGAGTACCGAAAATGGGAAAGTAGCCGCACGGGAGCTCACGGGACCTGGTATATTTGGATAGTGGCAAAGAGGAATACACGCATGGAGGACCAGACCGCCACATGCGGACGGCCTGAGTTGTTATGGACAATCTCTGCATTTCGATTACGTCTGATGTTACTCCGCATCAACGATTCTGGGGATTCAGTTCCCCTTGTAAAATCTGAAGGGAGATCGTGACCTCTATCCCTGCGCTCAACGGTTTCAGCATCTCCAAACAGTACACATCATCCTGTTGACGCCGACGCTAAGCGGCGCGAGGCGGGCGAGGTTGGGTAATCGGGGGGGGCAGCTGATAGGGCGGTGCCCCTGCGCCGCCTGCGTGGCAATGGATCTGGTTAAGAGGGGCTCCATCTGTACCTGAAAGCCCTTTCGCTCGGAAGGTCACTATCCAATTGCGGGGGAAACTGGGCGATGTTGTCTCGTAACAAGTTCCTGAATTCTCTCATTCCATCTCATTCCAGTAGCCCATGTGATGTAGTTTGATGAAAATTCTTTTTTGCTCGCGGGGCGTGTCCGTCTTGAAAGATTCCATTGTATAAAAACGGCTCACGGATCCGCCCTTGCTACGCCCAACGAAACCCTCCATTCACATTCCCCCAAAGCCATTTGAACACTTTGCGTGTACTTCCGCCCCAAAGCCGTGTTTCAGCTGCGGTGAGACTTCTAGCTATCCGATATCTTTCTATTTCTCTTATCGAACCGGCACTATTGGCGATCACAAGGGTCTGACGGAGGCCGTTATCCTGTGGCCAGCCTCATTTAGTCTCGTTTGTTCTCATAATCAGTCCAATTCCCGCCGCAACGGCCATACCAGAAACCCCCCAGGGGCATAGGGTGCGGCTGACAGGCTCACCTATCAAGACAGTACACCATTAGCTGAACCTACCCATTACCCGTACAAAAGAGCTCCCGGGCTCGACGTCTGCCTCTGCCGCATTCATCTTCCATCTTACATTCCCTTGGTTTTGTCGTTCACTGTTCTGGTCTGCCATCAAAATCGCGACTTGTCTTCCCTGGGCACACTCGTTTTCTAAACGACCATGGATCATCTCTCAGTCAACGGCGACCAGCCGCTGAATCCGGCAAGACACAAGCTGGTTGAGCAAGTCATCAGGACACCAGGGAGACAACCCTCCCCGCAACCGACTTTGCTAGGAGTGCCCGGGGCATCCCAATCCAATCAATCGTTACATCGTATCCTGTCGGACCATAGTCCCGGATATGTGGCTCCTCAATTCGAAGGCAAGAGGGCGCAAATGGAAGAGGGTACGTCGGCAGATCATGGTAACATTGACGAAGAGAAGCTTACAGCAGCGCAGTTATGGACCTCATCGAAGAGAAGGGCTTTCTGCCCACCGAATTTATTGCCTCCGAGACCGAATGGTTTTACAATTCCCTGGGAATCGACGACATGTACTTCTCCACGGAAACCGTCGAAGCCGTGGCAAGCAACATCCTTTCGTTGTATGCGGCCAAGCTCGCAGCGTATGCGCGGGATGACAAGAAGCTCGAGATCAGATTGGCCAAAGAGGCCTCGGATCATGCGGTCTACATTGACACAAGCAAGCCTGGAATAAGCGTCATTGACGGGCCGAGATACGAACAGAGAATTGACGAGAAATACATCGACGGTTCTACACCCTCAAAGAGCTTTCGTGTCGAGTCCTTCCGATCGAACAATGCTCTGCCGGAGAATCCGGACGAGTCACTGCGATGCTATTTCGTTTACGAGTGTCAATTCAAGAACCCGACTCCTGGGCCCAATGAGACGGACATCGAGGTCATCGGTGAGAAGCGATTTCTGCAAAAGGCAACACAGAAAACCAAAGAGATCTACCAAGAGATCATCACCTATGCCGTTTCCCGGACTGGCCCAGTTATCGAGATGTTCGAGATGGAGGGCACCCGAGAAAAGAGACTGGTTATTGCCTACCGTCAAGGGTCGGCCATGGGCGTGTTCAGTGCCCTGTCAGATCTCTACCACTACTACGGAGTCACGAGCTCTCGTAAATACGTTGAGCAGTTCTCAAACGGCATCACGGTCGTCTCCCTCTACTTGAAACCCGCCAGCAATGAAATTGCCAAGTCGAGATACCCTCCGATCGAGGCATCGATCCATCAAATCATCAAAGAGGTCTCTTTGCTGTTCTGCGTCCCTCAGAACAAACTTCAGGGACAGTTCGCAAGTGGGAATCTGAGCTTACAAGAGAGCATCTACGCCCACTGCGTGCACGTCTTTGTCCAGCAGTTTCTCAACCGGCTCGGCTCCGAGTATACGTCGTTGGTCGCAGCGTTGAAAGGGGACACCAACGCCAATGCGGAGCTGCTTTCAAAGATCAAGAAGCGGCTGCGAACCGAGACGTTCACCTCAGACTATATCCTCGAAATCATCAACAAGTACCCCGAGCTCATTCGTAATCTGTACTTGTCCTTTGCAAGCACCCACTACGTGCAGACTCGAGGTGAGCAGGATGATTTTATCCCCACGCTCAGCTATTTGCGGTTGGACGTGCAAAACGTTATGGACGATGCAGCATTGGCTGAGATGGTGTCAACGACCACCCAAAACCAACACGACGAGATGGTCATGCAATACTTTTTGACCTTCAACCGAGCAGTCTTGAAGACCAACTTCTACACTCCGACCAAGGTGGCACTCAGCTTCCGTCTCAAGCCCAGCACCGAATTCCTACCCGAGCATGAATATCCACAGCCGCTGTATGGGATGTTCTTGGTCATTGGGTCAGAGTTCAGGGGATTCCATCTTCGGTTCCGCGACATTGCGCGTGGTGGCATTCGGATCGTCAAGTCTCGTAACAAGGAACTTTACGCAATCAATGCCCGGACTCAATTCGACGAAAACTACAACCTTGCAAACACTCAGCAGAGAAAGAACAAGGACATCCCGGAGGGCGGCTCCAAGGGTGTTATCCTTCTTGATTGGCAACATCAAGACAAGGCTCGTGTAGCCTTTGAGAAATATATCGACAGCATTATGGACCTTCTTCTCCCTCCCACGAGCCCTGGTATCAAGGATCCCATCGTTGATCTGCATGGACAGGAGGAGATCCTGTTCATGGGTCCCGACGAGAATACCGCCGACCTCGTGGACTGGGCTACAGAACATGCCCGTGCCAGAGGAGCGCCGTGGTGGAAGTCCTTCTTTACCGGCAAGAGCCCCAAACTGGGTGGTATTCCCCACGACGCATACGGAATGACGACTCTGTCAGTCCGCGAGTATGTTCTGGGCATTTATCGCAAGCTGAACCTGGATCCGAGCAAAATCAGAAAGCTGCAGACCGGTGGTCCAGACGGCGACTTGGGATCCAACGAAATTCTCCTCAGCAAAGAGAAGTACACAGCTATCGTTGATGGCTCTGGTGTCCTTGTTGACCCGGAAGGGCTGGATCACGACGAGTTGATCCGCCTGGCCAAGAAGCGAGTGATGATCTCGCAATACGACATTTCCAAATTGTCACCACAAGGATATCGCGTGCTGGTGGACGAGAACAACGTGACATTGCCTTCTGGCGAAAAGGTCCACAACGGCATGACCTTCCGCAATACATTCCACCTCCGCGATGCTTCGCAATACGACCTCTTTGTGCCTTGTGGCGGTCGGCCGGAATCCATCGACCTGTCGAGTGCTGGCAAGCTGATCGTGGACGGCAAATGCAAGATCCCATACATTGTCGAGGGTGCCAATCTGTTCATCACGCAAGACGCCAAGCTTCGCCTTGAAAAAGCTGGCTGCGTTATATACAAAGATGCCTCGGCCAACAAGGGTGGCGTCACTTCGTCGTCACTCGAGGTCCTGGCAAGCTTGTCCTTTGACGACCAGGGATTCATTGAGAACATGTGTGTCCACAGTGATGGAACTGTCCCTGAGTTCTACAAGACATATGTGAAAGAAGTCCAAGAGACGATCAAACGCAATGCTCGACTCGAGTTTGAAGCCATCTGGCGTGAACACGAAGCCACGGGGGTGCCTCGCTCCACCCTCTCGGACCAACTGTCTCTCGCCATCACGAAACTAGACGAAGATCTCCAAAACTTCAATGATCTATGGAACAACAAGACTCTTAGACATCAGGTGTTCAAAGAGGCGCTGCCCAAGACGCTACAGGAGAAGGTGGGACTGGACAAGATCTTGAGCCGTGTGCCGGATAACTATCTCAAGTCCATCTTTGGCAGTTTCTTGGCCAGTCGATTTGTGTACGAGTACGGAGCGACGCCCAGTCAGTTTGCGTTTTTTGATTTTATGAGTAAGAGGCTCGCGGGAGCCATCTCCAACGGGCAGTGATAGGGCAGGACGGTCATAAGATGGAGCGGGTGGACAATGGGGGAAGACAAAAAGGGCCAATATTGAATGAGACGAGCATGTTAAATGGTAAAACGGTAAATGATATTCAGCGAGACGCGAGCAATAGCAATGAATGGCGATGAACGATGAAGCAATTTATAGCATGACACTATATCGTCTTGTCACTTCTTTGCCCCACGAGCACTTTTTGTTTCTGATGCGTCTACTACCTGTCACGCCCGCTTGTGTAGGTACCTATAGTCATTACTAGACATCGGGTAAGTATGTCCAGGAGATGTGCTAGATGCGGTAGAGACGTGCCAGCCTGGATGGAAGATGATCTGAAATGTGTGCATACTTTGTCGGCTGAGGAGTGGACCAGCGAGCGAGGGGCGAGCGGGCTACGGTCGTGGCTAAGGTCGTAGGCGTGCTCGTGTGGGATGTATTGGTTTTGGGCCTTTCGGGTGCACAGCCGTGGCGGTTGGTGCCCTGGATGTGGGAGCTCGTCGTACTGGCGCTGAGGCTGAGGCGATAGAGAGATGTGTCGACGCCAACGCGGATACTTTCGTTGCCGGCCCCTTGCTATCCGCCTGCGTAGCGACCTGTGCACCAGGCTTCTCGTCCAGGTCGTGAGGGCGAACGTGAGTGAGAACATCTTCTTTCCCTTCTTCATCGTCATGACCACCACCACCACCACCGCCGCCTACAGCCTTCCCCTCTCCCTCTCCCTCCTGCCCTCCCTCCTCCACTCCCACTTTCTTTCGTTTCTCCCTCTCCTTCCGCTTGACCTTCTTCTCGCGGTTCCGTCGCGTGCGCTTCTCCCGCTCCGTCTCCTCGGTCGCCTTGGCCTGGGCGGCGAGTTCTTGGCGCAGAGCGAGCCGCCGACGGAGGAGGATGCGGCGTTTCTTGGACGGTCGCTTCGAGCCCGACGAGGAGGACGAGGTCGATGACCTGAGCGGTTGCGCACCGGCGGATCTATCCTTTCCGTGGAGGAGTTGGACGTGGATCAGCCGCCACGGGAGCGCGGCGCCGGGCCATTTTGTCCGTGTTGCTCGAGAGAGGATGTCGGCGGTCGATACCGCGACGTCGGCGTACTGTGTCCGTAACGCTTGTGTGGCCTCATCCGGCAGCGCAGAGGTGAAGTAGTACGAGTCGGGCCGGTGGGGGCGGAGGAAGTGCGCGTTTTCCAGGGATAACGACTCCTCGAGCGCCGCGGGCTCGGGGGTCCGTGACAGCCTGATTCGGGTGTCTGCGATGGTTGTCGTCGTTGTCGTCGTTGTCGTCGTCACATCGTCCTGAGAAGGTCGCCGGGCAGCAGAAGTAGTGGTGGTAGACCTGGACTTCTTTGACGAGGTGAATAGCCGAAACTGGAACTCTAGAGGTTCTTCCTCTCCTTCTTCTTCTCCTTCCTGCTTTGGGTTGACCGCCGATTCAGATTCTGGCTTTGTTGGTGCTCTTAGATCTGATCCCAGCTTCGCCTTTCGCTTCTGCTTCGGAGAGGACGCTGTTGGCGGCGCGACAAACTCGTACTCGAACCCATAGCTTGGTCTCAAGACATTCTCCCCGTCATCTTTAGGGTGTGTTGTTGGGCATGGCGATACAGATCTACTCGACCCTCGAGAACCTGGGAGTGTGTCGTCGACATCATCGTCGTCGTGGTCGTCTCGGAACAGATCCGATCTTTTGACCCTTTTATCGGTCAACAAATTGACCAGTACGTCTCTGGTCAGGGGAAACACCTACCTTTTTGCATCTGGGACTTCGAACATGTTTGTTTCTGATATCACGGACCAACAGACCAGAGCAACGCCCTCGTACGTATGAGTGTGTAGGGGTTATAGATCCTCAGAGGACGAATTTGTCTGTTTTTTCAAGATAAAAATTCCCAGGCCCTTTCAGACGTTCAGCGTGAGACCGATAGCGACAGCGACGACGAGACAGATGCATCGATCATATCATATCATGACATAGTCTGGCACAGCATATCCACTCGTTTCGTTGTATAGTCACGGCACATGTACCTCGTACCTTGTAATTTGCTGTGATGGCGCAATTTGTCGGTGCTGGTTACTCAGTAGAATCTTTCTCGGTGACAAGTTGATCCGAACCCCGACTTTCCCAAAAACGTGCGTATAAGCCTCCAATGAATGTGTTGGACATACATACCGAGTACAAACGTCTTGCGTCTTATTTATGAGTTGCTCCAACTATTGAGATTCTACGCTGATTAGACATCGACCTCTCTATAATCTACAGTTGAATCTGTGGTTACACTGACAAAACTACCCTCGCTCTCTCGCTTTCTAGGCTTTGAGCGCTTGCATATTTTATTTCATTTTGGCTCCGCCGAAATTTTTCCCGGGAGAGGCATCGAGTTTTGACGCTTACTGTTTCTCACCACCAAATTGCAAAAAAGGATAAACTGACGATCGAGGGCGAGATCAAAAATGGAGGTCAAAATCGACCAGGAACATATACCGACCTCATATCCAGGTGTGTAACCTATGTCTGCGTCTGCGTCTGCTCTGCCCATACATCTGCACATGCATGTGCTTTTTATGCCCCACTCTCGCCGTCGTCGTCTATTAGAAATATCTCCCTGAGCCACGGAATGACTCTGTCGACTGATCGTTGTATATAATTTGCCCTCTGCAGGTCCCGTCCACATCGCGGTCATAGGCGGCACCGGGCTCGAACATCTGCCTGATTTCCAGAAAGCCGCCGTCCTCACCGTCAACACGCCCTGGGGCACGCCCTCGTCGCCCATCACCATCCTCGAGCACCCGTCGCCGACCACCGGCAACCCAATCCCTATCGCCTTCCTGGCCCGCCATGGCCCACATCACGCACTGGCGCCTCACGAAGTCCCCTCGCGCGCAAACATCGCCGCCCTGCGCCACATCGGCGTGAGATGCATCATCGCCTTTTCCGCCGCGGGCAGTCTGGCCGAGGAGGTCAAGCCGAGGGATTTCGTCGTCCCGACCCAGGTCATTGATCGGACCAAGGGGGTCAGGCCCTGGACGTTCTTCGAGGACGGTGTCGTTTGTCACATCCCTTTTGCGGATCCGTTCGATGCAAAGGTTGGGGATGTGGTGAGACGGTGCGGCCACAGCTTGGAGGGCGATGGAGTCGTGTTGCACGATTCCGGCACCTTGATTGTCATGGGTAAGTTTTTCATTTCGAGATCTCTTCCCCTTGCATTACCATCGACCATCGATCGGGTATGGCATGCCTCTGATGTATGCATTTCTCTTTCGTGAGGTTTGGACAATTGAGCGGCTTGGCTTGAGAGCAGATGAAGCGGCCCGACAGGATCAAGTCGACGTGTAGTCCAGCGGGTGTAGTTCGCCCCCTGATGGACTCTGCGGCGACGAGGGTGATTCTGCTCGATGCGAAAGTCAGAAGGCTCAAGCTATAACGACGTTCTTTGGCATGGCTAACCATCTCTCACCGAACTTCAGAGGGACCACAGTTTAGCACTCGCGCCGAGTCGAACTTGTACCGTTCGTGGGGTGGCACGGTCATCAATATGTCGACCTTGCCAGAAGCCAAGCTTGCTGCAGAAGCCGAAATTGCATACCAGGTTATCCTGATGAGCACAGACTATGATGTACGTGCCCCTCCAACGCTGGGTCGCATTGACATTCCGAAGTCCTTGTGGCATCCCTCCTCTACACCGCACTGTCCAAACTGTCTAACACGTGAATGAACAGTGCTGGCACGATGTCCACGGCGACGTTTCCGTCGAGATGGTCATGGGTCACATGCGCGCCAACGCCGTCAACGCCCGCCGCTTCATCGCCGCTGTGCTGGACGAGCTCTCCAAAGAAGAACATGGCGACCTCGTCCAAGCAACGCATCTTGCCGGAGCGAGGAAGTTTGGCGTCAGCACATACCCCGAGGGACGGGGAGAGAAAGCACTCGAGAAGCTGAGGTGGTTGTTCGAGGGCTATTTCTGAGGCTTAGAGCATGATGATTTCACGCGACATCAAATAGACACGGGGACACACAATAAAGCTGTCAGCTCATCACCGGCAGGTAGAATAGAGAGTGAAAGGGGCAAGGGAGAGACCTTTCCTAGGCTCGGCTTCAACGTCAGGGCTCGCAATGACATGACTTCAAGACTTGTGACGACGGGGAGTAAAGATGCGCAGGAACCACTCAATCACTCGCAAAAGTGTTGTAATTTGCCTAACCGCCGATTCTCGCGCTTGGAAACTTCTTTGGATCTTCATCTTGCCGCGATTCTGCCTAAATAGAATCGAATTCTTTTCTGTTATTGGAAATTGGCTTCAAATTCCTAGGCCGTCCGCGACCTTCATCGCCGTTGGCAATTTGCAAACAAGGAGGCCGATCTAGAACTATGCCGGACGATCGTTGCTAGCCTTGCAATCGTGCGTTCTGCCCAAATATGTAACTCTAACTCTTCCCCAGGGTTTTCCGAATTTGAGAGGTCTGGAACGCATGTCTAGACATTCTTCAATATATGACGCTGGTGGCAAAGAATCTGCAAACTCTGTGACCGAATGTCAACATTCTTACACGTGTTCAAGCTTCGATATACACGGTAGAGAAGCTTGTCGAGCAAATTTACCCAACACGTGGCAGGTCTCAGGCTCCGGCAAGGCTGTAACGCTGCAGTAAACGCCACGACATGAACAGACGTCAGTAGCAGCCTTCCAAGAGTGTGATGGCCTTGTAAGGTCAGGAGCTCGCAGGTAATGAACGGCCATTTGCACTGTCGGGTCGATATTCCGTAAACAAGACAGTATTCGCTAAAGGCGATCACGTGAACTGGTGAGCTGAACGCGCTCATTGTTGATATTGATTCTTGGCAGACACGTCTCTCACTGGGAGCCTCAAAGCCGACTTCTCGACCACATTAGCCCATACGATAATTGCAGCGTTCGTGGAGCACTCCGGACCATCGGAAGAGCATGATGTTTGACATAATATTCGACTGAGACAGCTCTTGAAGCAATCGTCCAAGCTCCACGAACAACACGGGGTAGGATGCTGATCACAGATCGCGTCGCCCTGGTCTGTGCAAGCTCAGTTGTAGGCAATATTTGGAGCTGCACAAGTCGCACCAGGAAATTTCCCGGGCATGGTAGTGTCACACCGAGCGGGGGAATCGGTTATCATCTCGATTCTCGACGACACGTCCAAGAATTGCTTCTTGGTGCCCCTCAGTCAGCCTTTAACGGGGCCGCATGGCTGCGTCACCAGAACGGGTTGAGAAGCCACTGATGGAGCTTTCGAACCAATCTCGACGCAATGCGACCTGGGCGGTTTAGAAGTCCGGAGTTGGTCATACGACTATGTATGTAAACCAAGGAACCAGCAAAATAGCCCATTAATAAATGACGTAGAAGAGAGTCTCATGGTCGGCAGGTCGGCGAATGTCCTTGTTGGCTGTGCTGTTGATTGAGAGCCATCCTCAAATGGACAATGTGGGGGATCGGTGGTTGAACGCCCTAGCCGATAACAATCTTGATTAGTGTGAAACAAGCTTGCCGAAAACAAGGACCTCTGTGCTGTGTAGCTTGACAAAATGTGCTTCAGCTCTGCCGTGGTGGTTCATGAGGCAGAGGACTCCATTCCAATTCAAGGGGCCGAAAGTCGCTTGCCAGCGATGAGCCTTGCGAATTTTGCGTAAACACGTGCCTCATTGGCACGGTGTCTCCGGGGACAACAGCCACAGCCGAGGAGATGAAGCAGTCTAGGGCCTTAAACCATGCTTGAAGTGGACTAAGTATCAGTGGTGCTGATGGCCAACCGTGATAAGGACAGAGAGGATGGCGCAATCCATCTATTGAAAGACCGGAGGGGGTCATGTTCTTCTGCTGGTGCCCACGTGAATTCAGAATGGAGTAATCGGTACTGTACGAGCAATTGATGTTTATTATTCGGACAAGTATGTGCTGTGGTCTTTTACAGCCATGAAGGCAAATTTCAGCATCTAGGCCTGGACGACGGTTTGAAAAGCCTAAGAATAACTTCACGGATGTGTCCAGGCCTTGCCGTTCAGCTCATCCTCATCCGTGCTCTTACGACAACTTGATTTCCGCACGCGCCCTTCTGTGTAGGGTAATGACACAGTGCTCTTCAGGCCCGGAATTATCGGTATGGAGTTCGGTTGGCTTGACTGTGCTGAGATGGAGCAATGAGACTAGAGGACAAAAACAGAGCACAGCAGCTTCGACGTGTAGCTCAACCAGATGTGATAGGCCAATAGAGGTCGGTTATTGCACAGGGCAACCTCGCGTCATGGCGCATGAACCTTGTCGGGTCCTGCGCAAGGATGGAGTCCGAAGTTTGCAGGATGCGCTGAAGGTTCTTTAGCCTTCCTAACAGAGCGTTAGCTTTGTGAGAAGAGGTTTCGTGCCCAGATGAGTAGCTCTCCATCCTGTGTGATAGATTGAGAGCGACGCACCGGATAGGACGGTGTTGCGAAGCGCTACAGAGATGAACTGAGGAAAAGATTTTCAATCGAGATCCAAATATATGGGTCGACAATATTGCGAACCGACAATTGGGCTTGATCATCGGGTGGTGATCAGCCGATCAGAAGATGGTATCGAGGCTATGACATCGTTGTTGCAAGACAGCTTGGGTGACGGGGAACAGTAGATAGAGTCCATTATGAGGATACCGCTGAGTGGGCGTGTGATAAAACGAGGAACCTGAAAAAACATGGTGTTGCAATCAAGGTGGAGAAAAGCTCTAACAAGGACAAAGATTGTTAAAGGCTTTAAGGTTCCTATAGGTAGTAGGCCTTAGACCTGGTCGCCCACTGCGAGGCTCCAGGTACAGAAACTTGACCTGTTAGACTGGGGCCTTTCTAGGCTGTGGAGGTGGAGCCCGAGGGCGACGGTGGGCTCTGGTTAAGCAGGTTAAGCAGGAATGGGTAATCCGCCACGGGCGTCGGGGCGGCGCAGCTGAGGTACCTGCTCCAAGCTGCCCCTAAGGCATGTGAGTTCCCTGAGTAGGTAGACTATTCGGTACCCGTATGGTTGAAGTACCTAGAATTCTGGTCTGTGTGTCAATGGGACATGTGCCTGTGCTCGTTTCGAACGGCAACTCCCCTGGCGGTAATTGTACTTGATTATTCGACCCATATTCATGAGTAGGAGGGATCATCCAGTGCCTCCAGCGGCTGTCAGTGCCAGTGCCAGTGACAGAGAAAAGCCGTTGTTCGGCGCCAACCAGACTTCTGGATTCACAGCAACTACCACAGGCGGGCCCCGCAGTGCGTCTCTAGGCCCTTTGGGTCTCTTGGTCTCTGTACCTTGCAGACTGCAGTGCTCCCAGCGAGGCCCAGTGAAGGCCGGCTAAGCTGATTTTGCTCCCACCGTCGCCCGCCCACTTCTCCAACTTCAATGCTGCCCAGCAACAACACAGACCTGACTTTGCACCAGCCTTAAAACTCTCCTTCTCCCCTCCTTCTTCAAGCCACCGAGCTGCAGGTTAGACGCTTCTTTCTCAGTCTTCTGTCTCCTGTCAGTGCGAGAAGGGGCTCCTCGCTCGGTGGTCTGGTGTCTCCGTTGTGCATTGGGTTCCTCGACTTCATCTTCGCCTTGATCATCACTGGCAGACAGACAGTCGACCACATAACCGCGAACCCACGGACGTTTGAGCAGTATGGTTGCTTAGAAGCGACCGGTATCAACCTGCCCAAGCCTCGATTGACACCCGCTGGTCAGGACTGCGTTCACCTCCACCGAGATTTCGACTTCGACGTCCTTGTACGACCCGACCCCCTCGGACGAGGTCCAAACGACCAGCGCCTTCTCTGACGGCGTCCACTGACGAGGCTTCTGGAAGGGTGGCTTGTCAATGGAAATATAAGAGGTAGCATTTGAGTCAAGGTCTCGTCATCCGACAAAATGATTGAGGCTTCATCACCATTGGCCGCCATGCAACCCCCGGCGTTTTTGGGGCACTGCGGTGGTGGTTACAGAGCGGATGCTCCTCCAGGCTTTGCGTCGTCGTTCGCGGCTGCCAAATCCTTTGCTACGAACAGCTTCAATTTCAGAGATCTATCGATGAAGAAGCCAAAGTCGGACTACTTCAGCCTCAAATCGGTCCGGGGTTCTTCGCCCACGGCCAGCCTTGCTGCCGACCTTTCACAAAACTTCCACATCGACCAGAGGTCTGTCCCCAGCCTGCAATGGAAGAATGCCGTTCACTTCAGTGCTAACAAGAAGTCAGTCCGCAAGTCCCAACTCCGCGGAGATCACTCTTTCCCAATAGCTTGTTCGCACAGGACGGCCAAAGTGAGTAATGAATGCTATTGGTGCACGAATCTCCCAATTGACGGTCCACGAAGGAAACCTGACAACGCCTCCTATACCATCTTCCTCTCCCGCACCCAATGACATAATGGACATGGACATGGACATCTCACCCCTCCCGCACAAGATGCCCTTTTGTACAGCGTCAATACAGCTTCAGTCACCAACGCCAGACCTGACCCCCTCGGATACTTCATTATTGTCGATCCCCTCGCCGCCTTGCGGTTCGCCCACCGAGCCATTTCAGATCAACCTCCCTCAAGATAGGCGGAAACAAGGGTTTTTGCGACCTACATTAACCAGAGCTAAGGGCTTCAGTACAGGCAACCTAGCCCAGAGGCCTACACCCGAAAGTCAGCTACCACCATTCAAATTCGGCAATGGCAACTACTCGAGCAAACCTGCAACGTCGTCCTCACTATCTCTGTCCGAGATATTTGCAGACTCGCCCGGCCAGGAGAAAGCGGCCTCACGATTAGGTGCTCCAGTATTCGCCCCTCCAAGGTCTCGTCCGAGTCTGACTAGTTCTGGTCATGCGTCTCGTAATGGATCTCCTGTCGGGACTCACACGAGAAAGACTTCCAACCCTCTGGTCAGACCTCGAAAGCAGTTCCGACGATCTCTGAGCATGTTTGAACACCCAGAAGACATAATGAAGCAAG